AATGTAACCTTGATAAAGAAAAGTCTTGTATCGTATTAAGTTATCTTAAGCAATCGTGATTTTTTAAGTGTTGGTTATAAAAAGATTATCAACAGAATTTTTTTAATAAATATTATTGTCTAAGTTCTATGCCTGACCAATTACCATATATCAGTTTCACGTTTCATCAGGATTAAAAAATGTAAAATATCATTAAACTAGACTAGAGATCGCACACCTCACTTCAACAGTCCGTAAAACACTAAATAAATTAAAAAGCTTCATTAATAAATTATTACATTATGTATGAATATTATTTACTCATATGTTGTTAAAGTTTATTCAAAAGTATATGTAATTTTATTCTCCCAAATAATCTTATAATGGTATTGATTTTTTTTTTAAATTTTTACTCTTATCTGTATTGCATATTTTTAAAATTATTCATGCACTTAATATACTTAAAGATTTCATGTATATTTATAGAATTTGATTTTAGCGTTGGAAATTTTAACGGACCGGAAAACCACTAGAATTACCAGGAACTCAAATGCTAAATTGTTCAATTATTTTGTCTGTAATAAACATGGTCAAGTTTGGAAGTGGTTGGTAGTTAAGTGGTCTTTCGGGTTTGGCGTATGCTCTAAATTAGGAGTTAACTGGGTTTTCCTAAAGTTGAATCACTTTTCTAGACAATGTTTCGCAATTATGCGCAATTGCTTAAAACGTTTTGTACCGTACGTTAACTACAGTATGTAGTTTTTTTTTGCAGGTTGTTATATATATTTTGTATTTTTAAAGGTCTTAAAAAAAAAAAAAAGTTGCTTTCGACTTCTCTAGCTATAACGTAAATATTTTCATACCATTTAATAATCTAATTTCATCCTTTGAACAATATTAATGCCTACTGCACCACACTTTTCACTATCTCATATTAATCATAACATTCACTATTTTAAACAAAAAACTGTAGCTAATTTAATTATTATTTGTATTTTTTGCATAATTCTTTTGTCGTCGTTTTGATCGGAATGATATTGAATAGTATTTGAAATTACTGTCCGATATCTTTTTATAAAAAAATTAAATAGATGAATAAAAAATAAATACACCCATGTATGTTATAGTCATATATATACGCCCATATGTGTTATAGTCATAAATTTAAAATTCATAAAATAACTAAAGCATTGCGACTCAGAAGATAACAGTTTTATTTTATTTTTTCTTCTGACCATAAAAATTGATGATTCAAACGAAGAATATAATAATCATTTTAGTCAGAGAGTTTATTTAAATAAAAATAAAAATTATATTTCTTATTTTTATTATTGTTTATATTGTCCATTATTTTATTTATTCGTAGTGAATTTTTATAGATCAAATCGGAAATATTTTTTTCTTAGACGAATCTTGTGTTAAATTAAAGTAAAATAAATATATGTATAAAGTGGAGTTAGGTAATTTCATGAATAATATATTTTGGTAATTTTATATCTTTCCACATACATGATTAGGTTCTTGTTATTTTCTGTTATAAAAATAATTTCACTCATATTTCCAGTAGATCATTCAGAACTTTTATTTCAAAGCGTTAGCAAATCTGGAAAGTGTGTTACACACCACTGTTTTTTCCCATCCGCAAATTATTCGTTCTGTCTGTGAGAACTTTTTTATCGTGTTCACAAGCTTGTGTTTAGCAATACGCTTTTATGATCAAACTATATCAGTGTTGAAAGCGGCTTTTGATAATTTTCAACTCAAGTCATGCAATCATAACACTTAATGAGTTCCTAAACGATTTTGGTTGCCTGCTAAACGTTCGCACAAAAGCAATATATTAGCAGTAGTTAATTTTTTTAATAAGATATGTTATTTATCATATTTTTTTTAATCTGCTTTATTTAATTATATTGTATAATATTTCTGGCTTAACGTTCCTTCGAAGAAATAATGTCACTTGATATATTTTCGCCTAGTCGAATTATTAATTCTATAACTCGAAATTCCTTGAAAATATATTTTATTTGTGACAAATAAGTTCTTAAATTGGATTTGGGAATTTAAATAAATAAAATACAATAATAATTATTTTTAATTATTAATATTTTTTTCAATACGATGTGCTGTCATTTGAATTTTAATATGACATTAAGAAATAATAATTTTGAAAAAAAATAAATGAACTGCTATAAGTTAGTTTTCATGTTTAGATTTTTTAAAATCGAAAACCATCTATTTAATACAATACAATATTTTAAAATTTTCTGAAAATTTTTTATAAACTATTGTTATAGAGATGGATAGATAGTTATAGGGAGTTTATTGTAAATTTATTAAGAATTATTAAGACTAGAAGAATACATTAACGTTTTTTTTTTTTTTTTTTTTTTTATGTTCTTGAAATAAAGCAACAAAATTACAGCTCCAGTTGATTTGTTGGTTTTAAGCTTATTTGTTTCTGATAACCCATGAAAAAAAATGTGAATTCACTTTTTTTTATAATTTTGTAAGAATTCCTAATAAAGAACGTACTTTTTTTTATTCTAAATGATTAGGAAAAACTCCAAGTTATTTTTTTTATTTTGTTTTTAATACAAATATGTAATTGTTTTCTAATTGTAAAAATTAATACATTTAGATGGATGATGCGTAATTTTACTCCTCACATAAATAATTTTTTACATACAAATACATATTTTTTTTTATTTACTGATATAAGAAATATATTTGACATAATAAATAATATTTATTGAATTTAAATCTTTATTAAGGAGTAAATGTCTGTGTGAAAATAAAACAGGTTTTAAACCGAAAACATGCATACGGTTTGTTTACTTACGGTTAAGAAAAAAAAATAACAAGTCTCTATTCGGGCGCCAAAAAATATATTTTTTTTTCACATTGTACGTTTAATTTTATATTATATAATATGTTTTTTATAAAAAATAATTGGCAAAGATGAATGATTAATTAATAGCTACTCTTTTGTACATAAAAATTAGTAACTGGTTATAAAATTGTTTTGGTTCGTTCTGACTTTATCATGAATTTTTTTCCCCCTATAACAATAGGACTTATTCCATTGTCTGTAGTTTTCCAGGTATTCTGAAGTATATGAAGATACAATCTCTGTATATCCTTATATACAAACTTCAGAATACAGGAATACCCTAAGTAATTCTCGGGAAAGATGGCTTTTTACAATATTTTTTCGTATTGGGACGCATCGCTCCCATAAGGGCCCTTCGTTCTTGACAAAGTCCCTCAAAGGGCAGACCAAAAGGGCAAAGAGGAGAGGTTCGACATTATATATAATAAAGTTCATGTCCCGTCCTTTCTTCCTGCTACTTAGGGTTCGCTCTACGAAGTCCTAATAAAATATTCCATACTTAAGGCGAATCTAATTATAGTAGTGCTAATGTATTATATAAACGTCACATTTTTTACAAAATATATATTGTTTATTTCATCCCTCTTATAAAAACTTATAGGATATCTTTGATTCTTCTCCTGATATTAGTTTTCAAGAAAACGTTGGCGAAAAAACACTTCTTCATCCTAGAACTCACTAGAGAATTTTTTCCTTCTAACTTTCTTTACGACTTTGTAGTTATCAAGTTCTATCGAAAAAGCTTCAGAAGTCAAGGGCTGGCTTATTCTACAGTGAAGGCAATCTAAAAAATATTTTCATATTTTATTTTGTTTCGTTGTTCATAAATTAAATCTGTATCCAAAGATTCTAAAGATTAATTTAAATGAATACTTAGGAAATAATTTATAGTTTATAACTTATTAATATTAATTAACGACTTTGAAAAGATGTTACTAAAGATTCAAAAAGCTATTGTACCCTTACTAAGGGTTAAATGATTCCTTCCTCCACGTGGCCAAATTTAAAATTAATAGTCATCGATCGACTTCTTTGTTAATGGTCCGAACACACAAGGAATAGAAGAAGAATGTTTCCTTTCTTGTAATTCTTTAAAAAAATGACTTATGTTAGAAAATAAATATTAATGATCTAAGATTGTCATTAGCGAAAAAAAAAGAAATTTTAAAATGGGCATCATTAATAATCATTATATCATAGTTCCGCAGAAGAAAAAATGGTTTTAAGTTCATTCAACTTAAGATATTATCAATATTAGCTACTATAATGGTTGTCGCTTTATTTAAAATCATATTTATTTAAAACATAAAAATTTAAAGACGTATAAGTAGAGTGACGAATGAGGAAAACTTATTTTTTTTTTCATTAATTCCTTTTAAAAATTTATTATAAACAATGATTTACAGAAATGGGGACTTACATGAATTTACATTATGTAATAGTTTTTTATTTTTTTTATTTTATTGTATTCTTGATTGTATATCGATTTGACATAAATACTGCTGTAATATAATGAAATGATTTTATCGATGGAAGTTGAGTTTACGTCGATTTCATTTGTTGAAGTGTTATCTGTCCGTCTAATGTTGATTGAACATTTTATTGCATGACCTGGTTTATAAATGCAAGCTATATTTCAACAAATCTCACGCATTCCCTGATATATATATCTCAGTTTTAAAATGTATTTATCTTTTTAATGCATTTGTGAATGGGTAACAGCATACAAATATGTATTGATGACGAAAATAAAAAGGGATATTTATATATTATTTTTGAATTTTTTTTTTTTTTTTATACTACCAAAATAGTATATGTCAGATAAATTTTATATTTCTATTCGGTTTAGAAAAAATTTCTATTGATGAATATAAAAAAATATTTTCGACTTTTAATTCGAGGTATAGTGTTATAAATTCATTGCTGTCAAATAGATATATTTTTTTTAAATAATTGGATCAATTTCTATTTTCTTTTTGACCTACATAGTATAATTGAACTCAATTTCTGAAATATTTACAATATAATTGTATTCCTTAGTATATCTTTATTTACTCTTTTGGTACATATTTATTTTGTTTTTATTGTACATTTAACGATAAATTAAATTATTTATAAACGTAAGGTGATGCAGTTGGAATCAGGTGAGGTGGCATTAGAGAGGAAAACAGCTGTAGCGGTCGATAAACCGGTGGAAGTGCAGCGTATGCAGTTAAATTCTTTTTTCGCTTTTCGCTCCATTCAGTCGTTTAAACTCCATTTAGGAACTCCTTCATCAAAATCTCATATAACTATATATTTTTTTAAATATGTCTTCGGTTTCGTCCAATTCTGTGTGAAAAAAAGAACAACAGTGTAAATTTTATAACTATAACTAATATTATAATAGTTATTGATAATTATATGAAGATTAAATTATATATAATTTATTTTTTATTTTTTTTTAGTTTACGGCTTGGGTAGATGCTGTGATATTCGTATTTTCTCTTGAAAACGAAGCAAGTTTCAACGCAATTTACACATATTACACGCAGATGGCACACTATAGGAACAGCGCTGAAATTCCACTCATACTCGTGGGAACTCAAGGTATGTACCTCTAATTTGAAACTTAATTGTAATGTGTTATGTATAAGTGTGGAATTGCAAGTGTTAGTATCATTACTATGTTGAAATAATAATAATAATAAAGAAAATCCTTAAGATTAGAATTCATAAAAGTCGACAAACGACACCAAAAATTGTATCATTAAGGTTTGTTTAAACCACGTGGTTAAGGTTGTTTGGGTATATAATTTTAATATTTAAAAAAAGCATTATATTTTTTTAATGCAACCACAACCGCAACCAATGAAAAAATAGTCGGAATTTATAGTTTTATTAAGTAATATATAACGATATCTGGTTTCTGAAAAATATATATAATATTTTAATTACGAAAAAATAAAATAATTCCATTCACCACTTCAAAAAAAAAATGATAATAAATTAATTAAAATCGAATTCAGCACTTCGATAATTAAAATTATCAATTTTTTTTCTGTTTAAATTACTCTCAAGTTGACTTCGAAATACGAAATGGCTACTTTCAGACAGTGACAAAATATGTAAATTTATATATTTTTATTTATTCATTTTTCAAAGAGCATAAATACTAAATTTCACAAACAAATAATTAAAATCTTAATTTTATTGTCATGAAGTAATAACTAAATAAAATTTAGAGCATTGAATTTTATTGTTTCGTAATTAAAATATATCTACTTTTTATGAACCTAATAATGTTATATTACCTGAAGTTATCCTTTGATCTATATTTTTATCAGTCGTAGGTAAAACAAAATTACATTTTTTAAATTACTATTTGTTTTTCTTTAATGAAAATATCGCTTTATCGTTTTGCGAAGTTCAGACAAGTTGTTGAGGATTTCATTTTTTCTTTTTTTTAATTTAAAAAAGCAATTTATTTAATTTTTTTCTGAGTAAAGCTCTGAAAGTTTTTAAGGGAATAATCGTATTGTGTTGGTAGTATTTCATTATTTCTTCATTGAAATATGATTTCATCTTTGTTGAATTATTTCATTTTATTCTTTCGTTTCCTTTTATTTCTTTGTTTTATTTTAATCTATTCTCTTTTTTTTCAGCTTCTAAAACGTTTTTCATTTATATAGTAGTAAAGCTTTTATATAATGAGGATTATGCACAAATCTGACTTTTAAAAAAACAAAGAATATATAGACAGCCATACTGAAAAAGCGTTTAAAAGCTAAAATTATCAATTGGACAAAATAAAACGCATGATTCTTATTTTATAAACTCTCCGTTAAATTTTTAATACACGCTTAAGACAAATATGTAATGTTTGAATAAGGTTTTTTTAGTTTATATTTCTTGATACCCGCAATATCATAATTGACCACATAAGTTCGATATCTATTTTCTAATAAAATTATGAAACTTCTTGAAGATAAATTTACTTGATACTAAATTTTAAATGCTAAATCTTAGAACTGTAAATGCATAATTAGCCTAATATTACTAGTTTTTATGGATTTTTTATGTTAATAAAAATTGACATGTCATCCATTTATCGTTGATCACGGAACTATTTTCTTCTCAAATGCCTGAATAAACTTGTTTTTGGAAAATTTTGATTACAATAATTTTTTTTAACCGATTTGATTATGAATAGCATGGAGTATGATAATTGTTAATATATTTTTTTCTTTCATTTATTATTCTTTATGAATACTACGGTTTATAATATTTGATGGCAGTATATTAAATTTGTTTGTTCGGAAGCCATAAAAATGAAAAATATTTTTATTTATATTTTTAAAATATTTAACTTTAAAAAAAAAATGGAATAAATATAATAATTGTATTCATATTCACCAAATCTGAATTGACTAAATTTACATTCGTTTGAAATACTCTAAAGAATGCACCAATTTTTTAAGACATAAATTAAAATTCAGTTGAGATTGGTCATTAGAAAAGATACATTTTATTTTAATTTTTTAGAGCTTAAATTTGTTTAACATATAACTAATTTACATTGTCGCTATAAAGTATTTGCGACTTCATGTGTAATAAATAAATAAATTAAATATAATTGTTGTGAGTATCATGTTTGTTTTATATATCAGTTTCTATCATTTTAATGTTAATGTCAATAATATATTTGTAAGTTAAGGAAATAAACAACATCGTCCTATCGGTTATAACAGACTGGATGATTTATTAATTTCAAACTAAAATATAATATAATTATTGTCCATAATATTCCTACGGTATACTAAAGATGAAACATGAAAAATTGTTTAAAGTTTTACGCGTAGATCCCGGATTAAAATAAACGATTAATTTTTCACACGAGTTGGTGAAAATGAGGGTATATTGCGGAAAACGTCTGTGATTGGCTCTCAGCAAGAACAAGCGGACCAATAGCGTTTAATTGCGTGTCCTGGAAGCCAATATAATGCTAATCCTTCCACTCGGTGTCTTGTAAAACAACTATTTAGTCCTTTTATCTAGGAGCTTCATAACATTTATCATCGGGTAATTAGTATGCATTATTTTCATCTAATGAATTATATTAAAAATGTTTACTGAAAAAAACTAAAATAAGAAAAAGTTAAAATTAATTCATATTTTTTTTAAACTTTCCTGACTTTCAATCAGGCGCTTCAGGTATACTATACCGCCGTGTAAGTAAGTTTCCATCAATGAAATTAATTTCATCGATTAATTCCATCCTAACTTAATCTTTGTGTATTTTGTTCATTTTTATTTTTTTAAAGCTTTTTAATAAACAAAATAGTATATCATGACTGCTCACTGAGCAACCAGTTATAAATATTTTATGTTATAGCCACATAAATAATTTTATAAAAAATATTTATATCAATATACAATAAATACTTCTATAATATACAGCTCCCCATAAAAATATACTGGTATTTAAACTACTTAATTTGAAGAAGAGAGGATTAAATATATAACCAATAAAAAGCGAAATTTAAAGTGTTCACTATCAAGTATTTAAAAGTCATCATAGAATATAAATACCTAAATTAAAATACAATTTTCATGTTTTTGTACCTTAGTTTCTGTATAAAAAAATCTTTAAAATATATTATTATAGTAGCCTATTTTTTAAAAATTATTTATTGGTGTCCTGTCCTACATTTTTTCTAATTTTTATTGTATATATTTTAGTTACTCAAATCTTGTTTTAAATGGTTCAAATTTTTGAGGAGTAGGAGAATTTTGTTACAAGTGGCTGGCTATAAAATACAAATATTAATTATCTACCGAATTATGATAAATTCGTCCGATGAATTATTATACAGATTATATTCAAAAAGTAGGTGTCATATTTCTTTTTGAACTGAATATATTTTTGAGTTGTATAATTGATAAATAATATTAAAACAATATTGTTATAATTGTTTAAGTTATCGTATAATTGAATCAAGATTAGATATTTGTCTTCTTTATTTTATAATAGCTACATTATTTATTATTAATATCTATTACATTTTTTTAATGCACTTATAGTTAGATCAAATATTGAAAAGAAATTTTAAATTTATAATATTAAAAAAAAAATTCTTTTTCCTTTAGTTAATAATCTTTGATTATTTATCTATGAATTACTAATCCAGTTTATCTATTATTTAGTCTTTATTTATATGAGTAAGAATTATGTGGCTTGACAGACACCTATCGAAACCTATAGAATTTCATCGTTATATTATAATTTAGTAAAGAATTTTTTTATATGTATTTTACGTTTACAAATTGATCAATAAATGGACAAATAAACTTGAAATTATATATATTTAGATCCAAATATATTTATATTAAGCCTTTTATTATCGTGAGCGGTGATTTGTTAAAAAAAAAAAAAAAAAAACGTTGCGTGAAGCGAAGCATACCTGCCTCGTTGTGTCAACTTGACCTATTTTTTTTTTCGTTTTCCTCGCTTTTTGTTCATTCTTCTGGAAGAATTGTCAAGGACCTTTGTTTTGATGGATTAGACACGAAGGTTTCCCTAAATATTTCTCCAGCTTGGTATTATACTTGAAAAGATTCGCTCAAGTACCTATAATTGAAAAGGTAGACATTTTTTATCTTCATACGACTTTTATATCAAGAATAATTTGTTTGAAATAAAATTTCTTATTTAACTTTTTGAATAGAAATTTCAAATATTTAGTGTTTTTCTTTTAATTTAAAAATAAAATTTTAATTTACTTATTAAATTATTGCGTTGGCTCCATTCTGTAGAATTATAATTCTTATGCAATATTCACATAATAGACTATCGGTGTATATTTTTACTCAATTTGTTTTTTCGCATTAACGATATTTTTATTTAAACTTGTTATTTTAATATAATTTCAAAGATTACGCCTGAGTCCTTGATGGCATCGATTAAGCTGCTTTAGCAATTTATATATTAGCTAAATAATTTAATTTTTTTTTTCGTTAACTTTTATTTCGTTCAATATGCTCATTCAATGTATTTTATACTGAATTAAAATTTAATTTATTTTCTTTCATTGTTAAATCCATTTATCGATTTAAATTTGAATTACATTTTTCGTACCTAGATGTCCACATGCTATTTTTTCACGTCTTCCATAACATTTGTATAAAACTATTTCTCCTGTAATGTTCTATATATATATCCTAATATATTTTTTAGATTTGGAAATCGGCTCCATCAATTTGTCCCGAAATTGAAGAAAAGTTTGTGATTAATGAAAAAATAGTCCAGAATCAATTTTATCAAATTCAATCTGGCGATACGTTCCCTTAATTAGGGACTTTAGCATACGCATGCGCAAGCGTATTCTCTTAACAAACCTAGCTTTAAGCTTTAAACAAGTGATCTTGTATCAATTTCATAAAATTACAATTACATACGATTTATGTAATTTCCCAAAACATGTGTCAAATAATAATTTTTATTTTTCATTATATACCCATCAGAAATCGTGAGGAAGTTATAACAACGTACATGATAAATTTTTTTCTTTGTTAAAAAATTTCCAAACTTTTGCAAATCCCATTAAAAATTATCAAGCCAACAGAACCCCAGAGCAGCCCTCATCCAATATAGCTTCTCCTTTATTCACTCTCTTTATCCATTGTTAGGATTTGAAAGGCTGTTGAAACAAAAATGGCAGGTCAATGCTCCCTTGACTCTAAAGCTCTAACTGGTTACAAATTAACATGGTTTCTGTTTGTAGATATAGTACAAAACAAAACTTTGATACTTGTTTGTTCTTAACTACAACGTCACCTTATATTATCATTTCATGTGTTTTATTCAGTTTTTTTTTTTTATTTATTTATTTATTAATTAAATTTCCAAAACTATTGAATTGCACTGAAAAAAATCATAAGTATTATTATAAGGTTTTAATGTGCAAATATCATTAGAATATATATACATCCCAAAATTTTGAAAAGTCTTTTTTTTTATGGTTTACTTGGAAAAAAATGGCATACAGTTCTTCTAATTTCTCACTATAAAGAACAGGGACATTTTTGCAACATAGTTATCATAACTTGTTTTAGCTCAAAATAAAGCTATTTTAAAGTATTCCTGTGTACATTTTTTTATTTTATGCAGCTTGTCAACTTTAATAATGTTTTTATTATTACAATAATGCAATATTATTAAAAATAATTAATCCCAAAAACTATATTTTCATAAACATTGATGAAGTACTGACACAGGTTTTTTTTTACAGTTATAATACAACCTTATCTGTATTTTGAAAAAAAAAAAAAAATTTATTTTAATGAATAATAATTTCTTGATAATTCATTTTTTTTCTAATAGTTTTTAATTATGCTATATGCTGTCCATTATGACAATAAAAAATCAAGTAATATGCACTTGTTCCTATCACTACAAACTTATATAATTAAAAATGTTTTTGTTTTAACCAGAAAGAAAATATGTTTTGTACAACTAGGATACTTTTTTTTTTAATTAAAAAATTGTATTTACAAAAAAATTGTTAAAGAGTAAAGTTAAATTGTTAAGATCCAATATCTATAAGTCAGAGAAGTAGATATAGTTTTAGAATAATTATGAACAATGATTCTATGTTCTTTATTTTATTAATATTGTTAAGTGATGTATTTTTAGGTTCAGTTCAAATCCATAAAAGAAAAGAAAGAAAAATATAGATTCCTTTACTTAATTCAATTTAAACAAACCATGCCCTGGATGCATTTTATATTTGTTTTTTCTCAGAAAAATGGCTTATTCTTTGTAATTCAACATTATATGCAAGCCTAGTTTCCCAGAATACAGCAAATCCAATTTTCTACTGAAACCTTTCATATGTTCAAATATTCCCTTGTGTGTATTTCTTCTTTAAAAGCAGACCTATTTTCAAAGTTATGTCATCCATCTCTTCAGGTTTGTTCAGGAGACTTTATTATAGACATATTACTTCTTAATTGGGATTCTTTTCAAATTTCAAATTATATTAAAGTCTTCTTTGACTCATTTATTAATAAAACTGTACAGCTGGGCTTATCCATTCAATTACCTTATTCACGATTAAATATGTTTGAAAACATTTATAATATTATATTTTTTAGGCTTTGTGTTTCTTCTTTAATTATATTTCGCCTGACTCTTTAAATGTATACAGCTCTGGTTCTGAAAAATAAAGAGATTAGTCAAAAACTAGAAATTTTTTTATTGTATTTATTAATTTGTTTGTTTGCCTCGTTTTGTACTAAATGCACATGCAGTTGAATTAAATCAAAGCTTAAGTAATAGGATATTTTTACTTTTTTTTTTTGTTATGTTTTATTTTTTATTTATGCCCCGTGTCCTACAATCAGTTTAGAAATTTTACTAACTTTCTTAAAAATTTTCATGTTATTTTTGTCTTTGACTTAGAATAAATTATAGTCTGTTTATTGTTAAATATTAATTCTGTGACCCTTTCTCTATTTATACAATATAGTAAAAATGTTTCATCATTGCTTCTATTATGGTTTTAAAATTTGTTAGTAACATGACGCTTGTTTCAGATGCTATCAGCGAGAGCAACCCGAGGGTGATAGATGACGCCAGAGCTAGGAAGTTGGCCAATGATCTCAAGAGATGCTCCTACTATGAAACCTGCGCTACTTATGGCCTAAATGTAGAACGTGTCTTTCAGGATGGTATGAGGATTGATATGGTTATATTATTTGATATTAATAGCATGCGTATATGTAAACAATTTTTTTTAAAAAAGTATATTGCATAGATGCGAGATTAAGTACATACTAGTAATGATTATGAATTACACGTGGAAGCTCATCATTTAATGATGTCTCCTGTCTTTATTTGAAAAGTTTATTCAAGGTCTCAGAATCCCACATTCAGCTATTTTTCCACCTCATGGTATTTGTTGTTGTGGTCCATGTCCTTTATTTATTTTAATATATCACAATCTTTAAATATTTGTTAGTAATTTTAAATTTTTAAATATTATAGAGGTACTAATCATACCATGTAATGTTGAAATCTTTCTTTGATAATTTTTCAACAACAAATACTACAATTCCATCGTATTTCTCATATTTAGCTTTATTTTGTAGATTAATGTTTGCCTTGACATTTTAATATATACATAGCCCAAGTGAATTATCAGTTTAATATAAAATTCTTAACTTTTGAGGGGTGTAGGTTTAAGCTTGATAACAATCTTCAAAATCTAGTACTTGAACTTCAGCACTGCCAACATGCCCTGATGTTTGTGTTGAAACATTGACAACAATAAAATATCTTATAATGCTTCCTGATTATTAAAATTGTATAATATATAAAATCCTGTAATCTGGAAATTGGTTATTTGAGAAATAAGCTTATAGTATCAAATTGTGATGTCTTCCCACCCCATTCATATATACAAGTATTTTCAATATTTACTATGCAGTAATATTTCATAGACTTTATGGTGTTAACTGTAAATTATTGAATGTGAAAAAAATATCTTTTATATTTGTGACAAATTATCAGTTTTATATTACTGTATTAATTGAGCAGATTCAATACTTTATCAAGAAGAAATATACCTTTCTATGCTGGTTCCACTTACATTCAGTCATCCTGCCATTATCCCTTGTATGATCTCTCTAGCAACTATGTATTGAATATGAAAATATGTTTTTTTCAAATTGTAATACTTTAAGTATTATAAGAGATAACACTGACATCATGAACTAGTAAATTATATAAATTTATTTTATGCTTTAATCCAATTTTTTTTCCAGCTTGTCAGAAAATAGTCCAGCAGAGGCTGTCGCAGTCAGCTACCTGCCTCGCTACTAATTCCAGACCAAGCACCCCGATCACCTCTATGCCTCCTCCTCCTCAGATTCTTCTTCCTGCGTCTCCGACCCACCATCATTCGCCTGTTCATAAGGTATACATTTAATAGTTTTAGCACTCATTTCTTGTGATCATTTTTATTTTATTTACCTGCCATGATTCAAAAGTCATTTTAGATACAATACAATTATTACTCTCGCATAAGTATTTTTAATCAATTATTTTTCCTAACGTTAGATATTAATTATTTTTTCATTCCATCTATTTGGGAATAAATTGATTTCTTTTAGGTAACTCGTCTTTTCTTGACTTATTTCAAGTAGATACTATAATGAAGTACAAAAATAGACAGTATCGGCTCTCTTGAAATGTTGTTAAACCCTTTTCAACAAAAAATAATAAAACTTTTTTTCTTGTGATTTCTAAAAGTTTGACCTGAGTGTAAGAAAATCAACATTTAGTTTTAGTACAATTAGAGAAGAATCTTATAGTTTCTAGAATTTTAAAGATATGTGGCCAATGAAATGGTAAAAATAAATTTTACATATAAAGATTGTTAATGTACACTATGTAATGACTCATATATGTATATATTTTTTTATATATTATTGGTTAGGACTTGTATACTATTTTTTAAACAAAAACATTTGATCCTTTAGGCCATTTTCAAGAAAAGAAACGTTTTGAAAACAAACAAACATTGTATCAGTTCCTTGTTAATTATTTCTATATTCTATTATCTACCTTCATAAAAATTACTTTATAAAATAAAAATAAAATCCAATTGGTCTAATTTTTCTTTGTCACATCCTTTTATTTGATACTGAACTTCTCATTAAGGATGTGTTTATTTAACATATGTTCCATTGTCAGTATGATCATTTAAAAACTATTTCTTAAAATTACATTATTAAAATATTAAAATTTTATTTCTATTTTCTAATTTTGTTTTTTAAAAAATAACCAAAATTAAATAAAAACATTGTTTATGTATCTAAAAAATAATCATGTTTGTTTATCATGATTTATTCATAAATTAATTTTACTTAATATCTCAGCATAATGTTGACTTAATTTCTTTCATGATTATTTATTTAAATATGAATGTAAAAATTATATGTAAACAATAGTATGTTAATATTTTTCTCTTTTCTTTTGTAATGCAATTAATAATATTTAACTACCAATTAATCTTGGGGGAGGGGGAGAAATATGATAACTTCCACTAAAATGACAATCTTCAGATAGAAAAAGGATTGGAACTCCTTCTATACAAGAAAGAATATATTTATAAGATATATAATTGCTTATATTAGGAAATCTAAATCATTTTATAGTTTCCTTTAACTGACTTTAATTTAATGTTTTGTTAATTCATAAATTAAGGGGAAAACATAATAAATCTTCTGCCTTTGTTACTAATTAACTGTTATATTTAATATCTATGATCTTTTGAAAAAAAAATATGTTCGATTTTAAAATAATAGGTGATGAAACTATATTCTCATGGAGTTTTGATAGTAACTTTAGGTTTATAGGAAAAAAAAAATCTAACTGATCCTTGATGTTACCCCACAAGTTGCCCTGAGGGGGATTCAAGCTCCTCTAGTCACCCCTTTATTGTCAAGAAGAGGGGGCTCAGTATTGTAGGGTGCTTTGAAGGGTCTGTGAAGATGTTTCGTGTTGTGATATAAAATAGGATGGATTTCGGGGTCACTGTAGCCATCGCAGCTAAACTAATTAGGAGGAACAGTCTGTTTAGAACGGTAGCCTAATTATTATGAATAATTATCAAATAAATTATCATAAAATAATCTGACAAGTTCGTTATAAATTTTAATAATAATTGATCGGATTATTTTTATTCTTTGATTTGTATTCACATTTAAGATAAGTTTATTCGCATAAAATTTCTAAAGACCACTTATATTTTTTCCAAGATGAGCATTTTACATTCAATTCTCATTTGATCAGATTTCACCTATAGACTAATATAATTTAAAAGACTACACAATTTAGCAATAATTTATTTATTGAGCAAACATAATTTCATGTATCAAGGATTTCTGATGTTTTAGAATTAAAATATTGATAAAAAACTCAATTACTTCAAAACATGACAGACGTTTTCGCCCGCTGTCATATTTTGATATTTTTAAAGAATTCAAATTTAATTACTAGTAAAATCATAATAATAATTTTAAAATAAAACAATGTTTTTTTCAAAATTGAAAGCAAAATTAAAACTTATTAATGCCAAAAACAATTTCTCAGTAACAATGGAATGTGATGTATATAGAAATAAGTAATAAATAAAATAATATCTTTGTTATTAAAAATCTAAATTATGAATTACTGTAATTGTTTTAGCATTTATTAATTATTTCTAGGTGATGAAGTCATTTTTTTTCCTCATAAATCTAAGGCCTTTTGATCACCATTGCTTTATTGCTTTTATAAAATAATTATTTTAAAGGAAGACATTTCGGCCAGCACTTGGGTCATTTTTAAGTCTTATTTTATTTATCTCTAGCCACTTGTCAATATTTAAAAAAAAAGACAAAGTTATCATCTTGAGTCTGCTCTTGTTGTATCGTACATTGTATGCAGAAACTCATAAATTAATAATTACTATAATTTTTTCAACAATTTATTAACTATATCTGTGTCATCAGTGAATAGTGTGTAAAATTGTAATTTTTTGAATTTTTATTGGTATTACCAGATAGCTATTTTTTCTCTCTTTCTTTGTGTCTAATGGGCTAAGTTTTGTAGCTATTACTGATGAATATTCTTTTGTGAATCATGCGTTAACTTGAAAATTGATCTTGCGCCTGTGAAAATACCAAATTTTTACTTTTCCAAAAAATATGATATTTGCCTTTAACATACTATGCACAGATATCTAAGTGATGAAAAAAATTATATATTTTTTATTACCATTTGTGATAGTTTATTACTTCACACAAAATTTTTTTTTATCCTCCAAACTGTCATTTTCAAATGATTTAAAACTAAAATCTGTTAATATAGCTACATGATCAAGCATCTGTGAGTACATTGATAATTTTTTTAATAATACTGTGTAGATGGTAGGAAACCATTTGTGCATAGTAATGATGTTGAAATGAGAAGTTGCTAATTATATCTATTGATAAATTTATATTTTTATTTGTCAGCAATTGGATTGATAACTTTTTGTCCTAGTTGGTCTAATTTTCAAATGAATAGCAGTATTATAAATTAATTTTTATTTTATTTTTTAAGAATTAATTTTTTTTCTTTATTTTATTAACTTATACTTTAGTACTTATATTTACTACAAATGTTACATCTGTTGTCCTGGGTCTTTTACAAAATATTTGTTCTTGTTATGTTTTTACTTCTTATGTTCAGTTGAATATGACGAACACTTATTTTTTATTGTTATTTATATGTTGGGAGCTTAATGATATATTATTATTGTTATATTATAGTTTATTTATTTAATTGTTACAGGAGGGAGGTTTGACGAGGCAGCTGGGCTCAGTGCTGTCTAGTAGCTCCCACGCCCTCCACAAGGAGAGCCTAATGGAGAACAATAATGTGCCTAAGATACCGACCTTGGACAACCTCACTCTGAACCCTCCTGTATCAGCAAAGGATCTTCCAACTCCATCTTCTACGCCTACTGCAACAAGGTACATTTTTGTATTTATCTTATAATTCATACATAAAATCTATAATTTATTAATAATTAGGTATATTTTATTACCTTTAATTTAAAAAAAAAATATATTTAAAAACCCCAAAAATATTATGAAGAAAGAATTTCGTCTGCAAATAATTATTTATTAAAGCTTAAAAAATAGGGATATTTACTTTGTAAATATACTCACGTTACACAGTTTACTTTCCTAATCAGTCAGACCTATAAACTTTCTTATATTCTTTTTTATATATTATTATTATATTCTTTTCTCATTTTCCTCCACTTTGACTACGGCTGTGTGGTGTACGGAGGCATTCCGATGGTACTCGAGGATAGATTGAAGCGACTCATGAATACGTGCTTAAGATTTGTCTTCGGTACATCGAGGCGGTCTCATGTGTTCCACCTTTACGAAGAGTTAAAGTGGCTCTTCCCTTCTTTCCGCAGACAATATTTCCTTGGATCTTTCCTATTCCAAACAATCAACACCCGACACCCTTCCTACATCTACAGTCTCCTACAGTTTAAACCCGTGGTCCACACCCAGAAAACAAGATCCCGTGTTTCCGACCTTTATATCCCTTCCCATAGGACTAAGACGTTTGAATATTCCTTTATTGTCCGATCCACTGCCTTCTGGAATTCCTTGCCTTCTGGAATTCCTTGCCTTCTGAAATCCGCCATGCCTCTTCCTTGTCCTCATTTAAATATCATCTCTACCAATTCCTTCTCACATCCCAAAATGACGTTATACAATAAAATAAATATTGCGAAACAGATTTTGACTGAGGTGAACGGTTGTAAGAATTGATAGAGTTTTTAATTTTAAAAATCAACCCATGTTTATTTTATTTTGTTCTCTTTTCATTTAAATAATGTTTTTTTTATTTATTTTGTTTTCTTTTCAAAATGGTGTTATTTTTACTTGATTTAATTTAATTTTACTGAAGATACTATATATTCTTTAACATTGACTAATGTAATTTTTGGCCAGATGTAGTTTTTATTTTTTGTTCATATCTGTTATTCATAAGGGACCTTGTCCCAGAATAAAGTTTACTTTCTATCCATCTGTTTATCTATCTATCTATCTATCTATCTATATTACTCTGTATGTAAATTGGAGTCTCCAGTAGTATCCACCATAATTAAAAATGGCTTTTAGGCTTCTAATACTTGTTATTCCTGATAATCCTCTATTGTATACCTAATTGCCGAATGATGTGAAGTAATTTTTTTTTTGGCATTATTTTTTTTTATAAGTTAAATTGATATATAGATAAGTTTAAAAAAAAAAAATAAAAGAAATGAGTTGCAAACAAAATATTCATTATTTCTTCTAGTAATTAAGTTAATTTAAAAAATAATTAAATGGATTATGCAACATCTAATGATAAGTAGTTTATGATGAATAGTAGTAGAAAGTAATGAATAAGATCTTTAAAAAAAAAATAATATTACAAATATTACCGGTAATAACGTTGAGGTTGGAGTGATGTTAGATTGTAGATTGCTTGGAAAATGATCTTCCTACATCAATTCTTTAATAGCTCTACCTAGTTCTGCCATAAATAGTGTTACAAAAGTTGAACTTTGTTTACATCCTTGGGTATTATTTATATAATCCTTACCTCTATCAAGTTATTTTCTTTACATGTCAGGATGATAATCTCTATTAGTTTGTATTTTTCTTTCGCTCAGTTAACATGGAGTGGGGTGATAAAGAAAACCAAATAGCTGTGATCGCCTTATACGAAGATGGAAAATGTAGGTCAGAGATTTTCAGCACTTTGAAATCTTTGGGTATCAGTCGTATGTTCGTGTACCGCTTATAAATTGATATAATGAGACCCTATCTGTATGTGACAGACCTCGACCGGGCAAATGCAGTGAGAGCAGTGGCTGCTCTATTCAGAAGAAATCCCATTCAAAAACAACAAATCATGTCTCGGGAAATGGGAATCTCTGTCAGACCAATGTCTCACATAGTAAAAAGTTACTTTAGGATGTGTGCATTTCAAAGAATGACAGGACAAAGGCTAACCACTTCTCTAAAAAGCCCAGGAAGTCATTGGAAGAATGGAGAGAGGTCATCCATCACCCTTCCTCAGGGATGGTTTGGTGGGGAGTTTGCTTTGATGGCACCACAAAGCTCCATTTTTGTGAAAAAGGAGTTTAAACAGCTGCTAAAAACTATCAGGATGATATTTTGGAACCTGTTGTAAAGCCTCTAAATGATACTCTGTTTGCTGAAATTCAGTGCTGTGTTTAAACATTTTGTGTTTCACCATAATCAACATGAAGTATACTATATGATTTTAATTTCTTCTTTTAATGATCACAGTAATTTAATCAATTTATCTATTTCAGATATTTTGTGTATTCTTGTATTTTCTTTTTTTATGTGTTGTAATATTGACCTTGATTTTGTTATGTTTAGAAAAAATCGCCGGAGATCCAACCTCTTCACTCCTTCCAAAAAGAGTGAAGACAAGTCCCGGAACGGTGGGGAAGTAGGCAGCGGGAGAGCCATCCCTGTGAAACAGGGAGTGCTATATAAGAGGAGTAGCAAAACCCTCAACAAAGAATGGAAGAAAAAATATGTTACGTTATGTGATGATGGAAGGCTCACTTACCACCCAAGTCTTCATGTAAGTTTAAACTATAATAATTATTGATTTAGTTTTATATCTTAAAATTTGGACATATTTTATTTAAGCTTTATTATCATTGCACCATCACTTTATCTATTATTATATTCGTTAATTAACAGGACTACATGGAAGATGTCCATGGCAAAGAAATTCCGTTACAATACGTTACCGTGAAAGTACCTGGCCAGAAACCTCGTGGTTCCAGAACCATCAGCCAAGCGAACGGTGGCCACGATGCTCTTTCGGTCATCACCAGTAAGTGTTAGTGACCTGTTTTTTTTTTTTTTTTGTTTTTTTTTTATTTTATTCATTTATTTTTTCAGCTAAAATAAAAACTTGAAAGGGAGTAATAAATAGTTATTTTTTATTTTATTTTTTTTTTAGATTTCCATCATAAGGAAAAGAGATCTTCTGACAAAGTGCTTCTTACTGCTTATGAGATCCTCAAAGAACCTGGCCGCATACCAAAGTATGATTATTTTTTTTAAATTATATCATAGTATACTGAGCATTTACCCTTTTAGAAACAAGGAAGTTATTTGTTAAAAAAAAAAAATTCATGCACTTACTTTTTACAAAATAACAGGTCTTAATTGATGGATAAATATTTTAAATTAATTATTTGAAAATATAGGCTTTGAAAAACATGAAATTCTCTATTACGAATCATTGGTAGAGACTAGATTATCCAGATCTTATTTATTTATTTATTTTTTTAAGGTTTGACAAATAAGTCCTAATTATTCATGTGTTTATTTAGATCAAATATTAGGGGAAACTATAGCTCTTAATTTCAATTAAAAAAACATAACAAAATAAGTACCTTGGGATTACTTAGACCCAAAGAAAAAAACATAGTAACATAGTGAAGTTCCTTGAAACTTTGCACAAATGCTGTCACTTGATTCATGGTACATCGAAAGAAACACAATACTGTTTCAATATCTATAATTATTGATAAATAATAATATTTTTTAGGACCAGTTTAAATAAACAGATCTTGGTAGGAGTATAATATTTAAGAGGAAAGACTCAGTTCTCTTGTTTGAGAGAAATTGTTATCCTTCCCTGCTAAAATGCCTTTATGTTTAATTTTTGAATTATCTTTTAGAAATGATCAGTTTCATAAGTGTATTTGAAATGTTAACTATTTAATTAAAAAATGGAATTAACTACAAATAATAAAAATTAAAAATCTTGTGCTGGATGATTCTTGCTCCTCTATAGTTTTCCAATTTATTAATATTAGAAGTTTTAATAAATATTCAAAACATTTATTGTTTCTAGGTTTAAGAAATGGACTAGTAGAAGTCTGTAAGTAACAGTTAAGCTCAAACTAACTCTAATGTACCCGATATCGTTTGTTTTGGACATTAAAAGATTTATAAAAAAATCTGAATGTCATTTTTCTTACTTATTGCCAAAGCTTATTATAAAGAATAATGTTTTGTATTGCTCTGCATTTAAATGGTTTTATTGAAAGTTTTTGTTAACCCATGTGTTCTGGAATTGGTAATAGGAATTTATTCATGCGTATTCCTGGTTAATCAATTTTTTTTCCAATAAATTTCATACTAAAATGTGTGTTATGGTGTGTGTTTATTTTTTTTATTATTATTATACATAAATGATAAATAAAAAATTATTAAAAATACAATTGAAAAATAATGAACGTTTCCCCGCATATTTTTTTTTAATGTCTTCTTTCTTTTTATGACCAAAATTGAAGGCAATATAAAAACAAAAGATTTTTCTCTTATTGAATAATTAAAACAAAAAAAAAAAAAAACTACACATTTGAACGACAGTATAATTTATTACATCATATTATTAGAATAATTTATAATATATGCTTGGAAAAATATAACTTATAATTAAGCTAAAATTGGTAAAATAATGTTGGTTGATTTTAAGCTGAGAGTTTCTCGAAGTTTTTGTGATGCTGTGATGCTGGCGCATCCACAATATAAAATATTAATCACTTTGATTATTGTATAAAATCATATCTTTTTTCCTCGAAGAAAGATATCGGAAACCTTATCTCTCCTTCCTTCCTTTTTTTTTTATATTATTTATACACAACCAGCAGGCATAATTACAAATTTACATATATATAAACTTAATTAATGTTGTTGATTTTATGCCTTAACTTCATAACAATCAACCTACCAACAGTTAAAATATTTACTAAATAAACTCTAACTATAACTTTAGAAAAACTACAAAACACAACAAAGACTCTGGTCTAACAAATATCTGACTCGCTGTATTTTAAGAATTAAAGCAACTTTTATTTATATTCCTTTTTAAATTATTTCAGTACTTTTTAGCTCCACGGACACAAGAGTCTCTACTCTAAAGCATGTAAAAAATTAGTAAGATTATTGTCAGTTTTGCCTGAACTTAGGTATATGTAAATTCTCCATAAAGATTAATTATGGTGCATAAAAAAAATATATTTTTCCTCCTTATTACTTTATCTCGTTATTTTTGTAAATTCTATTAGTTGTTTCAGTATTTTGGTAATAAATCTGTCATTAAAGCAGATAGAAATATTAACTAATACAGAATAAGACCCCGTATCTATTTATTTAAGTAATCCTATTTTTCATATTATATATTTATTATTTGAAAATTAATAATAGTTTTAATGAACATTGAATTATTTCTTATGTAATTATTTAGCAAGTATGTAATATATTTTGTATATTAATGCTTGCTATTAAATTTCCTGCATGTCCATCATTGAAATATTTCCCTATTCATCATTATTATTTTCATATAATGATTGATATTTCCGTCACTGATTTATAATTAATTGACATTGTATTTTTTTGTGCAGTAATGACGATTCTCTGATAATCCCGACGAATCCTCTTCTTGCCAATGGAACAGACTTGAAAGTTGAAACACCTAACGTTAAAAAGAGACATAGGCGAATAAAAAGTAGTAGTGTGAAGAATCATGATTACGATGGTGAGTCTTTATTTCATTAATCAGTATTTGATTAATTGATATAATCATCATTTTTCCTAATAAATTAATGTATGATTCCTAATTGTTTTCAGATACTGATGGTTATGAGTTCCTAATAGTTTCGCTGGATAACAAGCAGTGGCACTTTGAGGCTGGCAGTAGTGAAGAGAGGGATGAATGGGTTACAGCGATAGAAAATCAAATTCTTCAAACGCTTCAGGTAAACATTGTACTATATAATTATTGGTTCCTTTGAATTTAGTCTCATGTTTTCTTAATTTTTTTTCATTTTGAAACATTGGTATCAAATCTTGTAATTTTTTTTTATAGAGCGTCGAAAGCAGTAAGGGGAAATTACGCTTAAATTCTACAGTAGAGGCAGCCTCTATTCAGTCCATCCGTAATAGGGTTCCTGGCAATGGAGTCTGTGCTGATTGTGATGATCCAAGTTAGTATTAATGTTTAATATAAATTAGTAACAAACTAACCAACAGACAGAACATAAATGTTAGGTTATAATTTGAAAAATTCCAAACCACACAAAAATTAGATATATATTTATATTTATACATATATATATTTATACATATATATTTTACAAATGCACAGAAAGAAAACAGGAACAACATATCGCTAATGTTAGTGCAAAAGGTTGTATGTAACAATTTTACATAATTATTCTCTTCATAGTAAAGGTGAAATTTTGCAGTCTACTAAATAGGAAAATAGCAGAGGGAAATAAAATATGAAATTATAGTAATAAATCATGGATGATAAATTTTCAGAACGCAGTCATTATAAAGTTTTTATTAGTGCCGACATTTCAACCCAAACATGTGGGTCATCATTAGGGCGTGATTCGAGCCCAGTACTTGAATATCTTCAGTGCTTGAACCACGCCCTGATGATGACGCACATGTTTGAGTTGAAATGTCGCCACCAATAAAAACTTTATAGTGACTGTGTCCTGAATATTTATCACCCATGATATTTAGAACAGTTGACTAACTTACTATAATATTGTAATGAATAATAAAGAAATAATTGGTCTTTATGCTCTTCTGTAAAAAAAAAAAAAAAAAAAAATCAATTTTTACATACGGCCTTTTGCAGAGGGTCCGGCAACCTGATAACTGAAGTTTGATAGAAAAATAATTACGAGTTCAAATCCGGTGCCTGGTGGGACTTGGCATAATTCTCCCGCCCGCAAATAAAATCCTGTGTAGCCTAAAAGGCAAGGAAGAAGAGACAAAAGAAAATGCAACCTTTTGCCCTAACCGTAGCAATAAACTCCATTTTTATTCTGTGAAATGATGGAAAAAATTTACTTTTAATTATGGTTTGAACAAAATCAATTAAGTAAACAAAACAATAATTTTTGTGTTTTTTTTTTTTTTTTTTTTTTTTTTGTCGTCTTACAAATAAACTGATAAAATTATAAAATATTAACTTTATATTTTTCTCTTGTAAACAGACAAAAACAAAGTGATGGACAAATATTATGTATTAAAATAATATATTACATGTATTAAAAAAATTGCTTGTGTACCATAATAAATCAAAATTATTTTTATAAAACGAAAACTCTATTTGGGAATTCTTCATTTAAAACACTGGAATTCTTATTAACAACAAATATAAATTTCCCTCATAAATAAAAATTAAAAAAAAAAAATATAATAGGAATAAAAATAAGACAATGTTGAAGTGAACAACGATTTATGTTAAGTTCTTTCTCCATAGTTACTTATTATATTTTTCAGACGTAATTGTTTCTCATTACGTACTTTTCTCTTTTTAAAAATATTTTTTAGGAAATTTTATTATTTTTTAAATTTTTCTCGCCTCAGAGCTCTTAATATATGTGAGTTTGATTACGACACATAAACTTTTCTTTTGATGAGTCCATATTTCTGAAACAGACTTTATTTTTTCCCTTCAACCAATTCAAATCACCTTGCCTTTAAAAATCAGCCATTAACGTCTATTTAATCATGTCTTAAAACTTCAATAGAGATTAAATTTATGATAAATTAAATTAAATAAGGCATTTTTGGCATTATCGACATGTTTTTTTTTTTATTCTCATTTATAGAACTTCAATACTTTAATACTTATTAGTAGTGCTAAGTGCAATATAATTAACCACACAATTAATTAATTATATAATTAATTTATTATAATAATTAATTAATTTTCATTTGAATATTTTTTTTAAGATCCTGACTGGGCCAGTCTCAATCTTGGTATTTTGCTCTGCATCGAGTGCTCTGGTATTCATCGTAATCTCGGGTCTCACATTTCCAAAGTCCGATCTCTAACATTGGATGAATGGCCGTAAGTATAATTTATATATAATTTACAATTTATATAATACAATTTTCAGTTTCTTTTTTTTTTTAAATGGTTCTTGTTGCATCATGAAGGTTTTAAGCTTTTGGAATCGTTGATCTGACCAGTAGAAATAAATTTCATATTTTTAAACGTGTTTACAGAATTCTATAAAGTTTCTTTAATAATTGTTTATCTTAATTTTACGTTGTTGTTGGAACTCCATTTGAATTTTAAAAATTTCAATAAAAAAGAAAATATTGGTCACTGCATGAAGATCTCTAATAGGAGAGGAAGAGAAAGACAAAATAAAGTAGACACATAATAAACATTATTATGAAATAAAATATTAATTATCATTATTGTATAATTATCGTTTTGTGTTTTTCAAATGAAAACCATGAAAATTACTGAACCAATCTTCACTAAATATCAACTTGCTCTTCTTCATGTTTTCCGAAAGATTTAACAGAAATTGCTAATAAACAATAATAATTGTTAATTAGTTTGATAAATTTAAAAAAATCCTGCTTAGGAAGAAATTTTTAAGTGCATTAGATTCGCCTTAAGACTGTTTTTCTATGAACAGCAATCATATGTTGCTTTACCTAGTTATGTTTCAAGATAAAACCAATTCTGCATTGATTTGGAAGGTTTTATAACCTTCCCATTCTGGTAAGAATAGGTTTGTTTTGTGCCTCTGTTTATTGAATTTTTTTTCATACTTTTATCAGAAAGTTCATTATTCTCATTAAAATTTTTTAAAATTACTTAATACTTTATATATATTTTTATGTCTTATTACATGTGGTACTTAAATATTTCAATTTATCATACACATAACTTTTATTCAATTCTTAAAATTTATTTATTAGTAGATAATGTATATTTTTGGTTTGATATATTTTTATTATATGTTTTTAATATAATTTTTGTTTGGTTGTTATCTTGTCCCTCCTAAGGCCTGTAAAGGCTTTTGTATCAACATTTTAAACCATAATGTTGGTAAAAATATATATATATTTTTTTTTATGTCTTTTATTGTGACTGCAATCCCTAACATATAAGACTTACAAATGACTTAGATAATGAAAAAAAAAATTAATTAAATTTTAAAGCACAATTTACTGAAATGACCGCTATTTTTTATAATTTGAAATGTTTTTTTTATAATTTAAATAGGATTTCTTCTTGTGACTGGTGTAATTATTGAGATAAAAAATATTGGGACTCTACTCTACATTTAAATATATTTAAATTATTTGAATATAATTATTATGAATTACTTAATTTATTTTTATTATTATTTAACGTTCACATGAAAGGGTGAAAGCACAACCATTATATATCCTAAACACCTGTTGTTGTTTTTTCAGTACAAGTTTAAGAAGTTAAAAATTTGTATTTTCTTACAAAAAGTAAAATTTGGTTCATTATGTCGATCATTATTATTAAAAAGTTTACTATTCAAGTTTTGAATTTTGGTCTATTTTTTATGTCTTTTGCCGTAATTCAAGTATTCAAAGTTATATAATAAAAACCTTCTACTTTACATAAAATAAAATTCTTGTGCAACAACTTTTATCTATTTCATGCTGAAAAAGATCAATTTATAAATAGTTGACATACAATGTTCGTTCTTTCACTTTTAATTACTGAAATAATTTTTACACTTTTCTAGAAAATTAATGTGTTTTTTTTTCTTATTATAAATAAATTGGCATTAACATAAGAATTTATGTTTTAGAGCTGGACACCTGAGCGTGATGCTTTCAGTGGGTAATCGGCTTGCCAATTCCATCTGGGAATGCGACACCAAGGGAAGGAGGAAGCCAGGGCCTGGTTCTCCGAGAGACGAGAAAGAGAAATGGGCGTTCTCTAAGTACATGGCCAAGGAGTTCCTGGCCACCCTCGAACACGGCCTTCATCTACCTCACCACCTCATCGAGTCTGTTTCAAGGTGATCCTCTTTATTTCTTTTAACATAGTAATAATGTAATTTTAAACTTAATTTGTGATTTTAAACATATCGTCGATACAAATCCTAACTATCGAATCCAAAAATCACCACTCTAACATCATTATTGATGTAGAGATGGTTGACCGTGATATGATAATGTGAGATGTAGTTGTTCGGGAGATGTGGTCAAATAAATACTAAATTTGAAAAAAAAATAGTATTTTTAATTGTTGCGCCGATATTTCGACCCACCTTGCATGTCTTCTTCAGGACATGTCATGTGACTGGGAGTCTATCAACTGCTTCCTGCAGTGCCACATTCCACTCCCTGATGAAGACCTGCAAGGTGGGTCGAAACGTTGACGTAACAATTAAAAATACTATTTTTTTAAAAATTTAGTATTTATTTGACCGCATCCCGCGACCAACTCCTTCTCATATTAATATCATTATCAATTAAGCCTGAATAAGGATGTTTTAATTTCCACATTAACATGTACTTTTATGGATGTTTGAAGATTTTCTATTCGCTCTTTAAATATATTTAGAATTTATTATATTATATTATTAGTGTTTAGAATTTATTAACTAATAATTACAATTTGATCCAACCAGATGGCAACATCTATCGTTCGGTGCCATTAATGATAAGTAAATAATTTTTACATGGTGACTTTTTTTCTCTCTAACCATTTCAATATAATACAATTCTGACATAGTATAATAATACAATATAGTATAATGATTCAATAAATTATAACATAATGATAGTGTAATATAATATATATTAAATACTAAAAGGCAATACATGAGATATATAAGATTATGTAATATAAAATATAGATGATAATTAAGATTATGTATAGATATGAATATATAGCGGTTGTAATTTATATGATAATAAATAAAATAATTGATAAATATGAAAAAGAAACATATGAATAATATGAGTAATAATTGGTAAATGGTTGACTGTCGTGGATAATGAAGAGAAGAATAGTTGGGGTGGTCAGTCAAAAAAGAAGGTATAAATAAATGATAATATTTATTTTTAACTCTTTATTATATTACACATTGTCTGTACATCTTGATAGACTTTACAGTATCTTAATTTTCTATCTAACTACTCCATTCTCAATGTCTTAATTTTACTATTTATTTTCATTTCTTATATAACTTCATGTTTATTTTTTATGTTTTACATTTTATTCTAAGATTCCCATTGTAACACTTATGTCACCCTTTTTGATTATGTTTTTTTTTTTTTTTTTTTTTTACCATCACTACATATGTTTCTCATACCTTGTTATCTGGTTATTTTCTTAGTCCTGATGAAGGCCTGAACTTCAGGTCGAAACGTCGGCATATGTAAAAATAAATATTATCATTTATTTTTGCCTTCTTTTTTGACTGACCACCCCGACTATTCTTCTCTTCAATATGAATAATAGCTTGACTTGAAGGAATAGAACTTTATGATAACAGAACTTATGTGATAATCAGAGGATTATGTCGATAATTAGATTATCTAGTAGAAGAAAAGAAATAATACAATAAGGTAAAGAAAAAGACAAATCACAGTATTTGGTCCATAGGATTAGAGGTAATTGAAACTTAAAAATGAGAAAGTATCCAATTGCTAGAGTGCAGGATTGAAAACTTTTCATATTTACATATTCGATAGCATTTGTATCGATAATATGTGTTAATTCTTTTTAATTTGCCTACTTTAATTTAATTTTATTTAATTCAATTTTTTTTTTTCAATATTTTAGGAAAGACATAAAAGGTGTGCTGGAGGCCTTGATCCACGGAGGTACTGATATAGTGAATGCAACAGTGTCCTCCAAAGATAGAAGAACGGCTCTTCATATAGCTTGTGCTACTGGAAATTTACCAGTCGCCCAAATACTCCTTTGGGTAATTTTCAATTTTTTTTATTTCTTTTGTAATCTCTTCTGAAATAATTTAATGTTTGGCTAACCATGATCGAGTATATGTTTATTACTTGTTTCGCGAGATCACAGAATAGATCAAACCTAGAGTGTCAATATTAATGCTGAATTTTGTGTGGATAGGTGGAATTGTATTAAAGTTATCACAATTCCAATTTCGTGCTTAAAAAAAAAAAAAAATAAGTCTTAAGTAAGCAAAAAGTTTAAGTAAAATTATTTATTTCTTAAAATAAATAAAAAATATTGCTATGAAAATTTGTATTTATGTGCCTTTCCAGATGCAAAAAAATAGCAACTTTCTTTAAAAAATAAAAATATTATTAGGAAATTTTAGACTGTTTTTTTGTTCTTATGAGTTCAGGATTTTTTCACCATTGACAGTCTCTTTTTTTATTTAAAACTATATAGCAATAATATGAGTACAATATCGAAGCAAGTTTTTCTGACTGAAGAAGCAATGAGGCAAATAAAAATATTTTTATTGAGTTCAGGATTTTTTTATTATTGACAGTCTGTTTTTTTTTATTTAAAACTTTATTTGTAGAGAAGCTTTCGGTGTCCGTGCACCATATTCATCTCTATAATTACAATACACCAATTAGTATAAATTAACAGTTAATTAATAACATAAACAATATATGTATTACATAATTTTTGAAATGTCATGCAATTATTATCGGATCATACCATATCTTTTATTAGTTTTGTCTATTTAAAAACATAAAGGATAAGAACAGTATTCTTGTTCTTCGTCTCATGTCAGCTTTCTCCGACAATAAGATTTCTCTTTGTCGAACACCATCCTACTGCGGTAACTGTTTTTGAATTAGGCTTAAGGGTACTTTTGGGTTATATATTCTGGTTTAGGTCTCGGAGAAAGCTGACATGAGACGAAGAACAAGATCACTGTTCTTATCCTTTATCTTTTTAAATAGACAAAACTAATAAAAGGTATGGCATGATCTGATAATAATTGCATGACATTTCAAAAATTATGTAATACATATATTGTTAATGTTATTAATTTACTGTTAATTTATACTAATTGTAGTATTATAATAATAGAGATGAATATGGTGCATGGGCACCGAAAGCTTCTCTACAAATAAAGTTTTAAATAAAAAAAGAGATTTTAAATAAAAAAATCCTCAATAAAAATATTTTTATTTGCCCTCATTGCTTCTTCAGTCGAACAAACTTGCTTCAATATTGTACTCATATTATTGTTATATACCAAGTATAATGTATTTTCTAAACTGGACAGGTATCTAGAGTTAGTTAAAATTGTTTCTTATATAACACTACTTACTGCCTTTCGTGGAGTTACTTCACCATTACAGTTATTGCTGTAAGATATATCTGTAAAATATGTAAATGCTTATTTTATCTGAATACCAAGATGAATGAATGAAAAAATGAATTTGTTTTTGGCCTGGTCCTTAATGGAGTCATTCTTAAGTCAAATATATATTTTATTTTATTTAATGTATTTTTAGAATTACATTAAATCATAATAACAATAGTCTTATAAAATGAGCATATTTTTATATATAGTATGTTATATGCAAAATCCTGATATGAGGTTTAGCATCACCATAAGGAAATCTAGGCAGTAAAACTTCAGTCTATTTATAAGATGAATTATTGAAGGTAGTTAGTCGACTGTTCTACATATCATAGGTGGCAAATAGTCAGGACGCAGTCATTTTAAGATTTTCATTGTTGCCGACGTGTCAATCCAAGTATAAGAGTCATTATGTTACCAGCACTGAAGACATTGAACTACTGTACAGGGGCAGTAAAATACTTAAATTTTACATAAATTGACAGTACTTGAACACTTTCAGTACTTTTAAGATGCCCTGATGAATGAAATGAAAAAATAATTTTATTCTGGGACTAAAGTCTCCTAAGAATAATAATAACATGGTACAAAACATTGGTCCATTAGTCTGGTTTGACAAAATACAAAGAGGTTCTTGTCATTTGAATGTTGATTTCAATTGTTATTGCAATCATACTTGAATAATACAGTAAACAAAGTAACATTAGTACATTTTATATGGTTTACATGTATAAGCAGAAAAAATAAATAAATAAAATTATGACACATGTTTGGGTTGAAACGTCTACAACAATAAAAATCTTAAAATGATTTCGTCCTTACTATTTATCATCTATATTTATAAGATGATAGGAGAGGTGCTATCAAGAATAATGAAATGTATTATAGTTAACATTATTTTAATTATTAAGTGGCTTAATATCGAAGACGGGCATCTGTTATTTTTAAAAAATTGAGAAAAAGACAATTTTCTGTTAAAATATATTCAATTTTAATCAATTCTAATGATTTTTTTTCCATGATTCAACTTGAATGTTCTTAAATAAAATCATCAGAAACTGTATTAGTTTAATCTATAATACAAAAATTGATGTTTTCACCGCTTTCTAAAAATGACAGATGATCGTCTTCGGTCGGCGTGTTTTAAAGAATAATAGAGAGATTGTAGAAGTTTTAGTGAATAGTCTTTGGTACAAATTTTAATAACTTTCTACAAAATTTGAAGAAGAAAAAAAACAGCATATTATTCCAATCATTCTAACCTTCTAAGATTCCTGAGGCTACTTGAAAGTTACAAGAGGATATTGTCTGCATCAACATATGGGCAGAAATAAACAAGAAATACTCTTCTCTATTTATCTCAATAACCGCCCGATCCATTTTTTTCTCTACAGTCAAAACGTAACGTTTGACTAGAACCCCTCCTGGAATAATCATATCTCCCAGATTACCAGAAAATCTATAACTTTTCTTAAACAACTCATTAGATTCCGATTGCATAAATCTAAAAACCAGACAACTCTTTGTAACCGCGCTTATATTCCTCCCCTTTGACTACTGCTGCTTGGTGCATGGAGGGCTATCTGCCAGGCTAGAAATGAGACTGAAGACTCATGAACTGTTTCATAAGATACATCTCTGGGATCCCCAGGTGTTCTTATGTTTCATTCTGTTACACCAAGTTGAAGTGGTTTCATCCTACTTTCCAAGGACAATTCCTCCTTGGTGTTTACCTTTTTCAAGTCTTCAGAACCAAAAACCCTCCCTACATTCTGGAACTCCTTACTTTACGTTCATCTATCCACTCTCTTAATACCTATAGATTTATATATCCCCTCCCATAAAAGTACTTCCTTCAGCAAATCCTTTGTTATTTGTGCTACCTCCTTTTAGAACTCTCTTTCTACCTCCAGACGACTATCCTCGTCCACAAATTCCTTCAAACAACTCCTGTTTCACCTCCTACTCCACATTCAAACTTCCGCTAAAATATAAAATTACTTGTATCTGTATACTGTTTAATTTCAATCTACTGCACAATTGCAATAACAATAAGTAGTTAATTAGTTTGTATCTTTTTAATATTTTAAGACAGACTAATACCCATAAATTTGTAACACTGTTATTATTCTTAGGGGACTGTAGTCTCAGAAAAAAAAAATGTTTTCATTTCATTTCATTATTTATTTTTTATAAATATACATATATATATAATCAATGTGTACATTCTGTTACAGCACAATGCTGATCCTGAAAGGTTGGATAGTGAAGGCCATACTTGCTTATCGCTGGCTAGAAACGCTGCCCGCGTCCACGGTGAAGGTGCTTCCAGCCTCGTCGACCTTCTGGTATCCATCACAACTACTACTGTCATCTAGTCCTCCCTTGTATAAATTGTTGCCCCGAATCCCTGTATTATTTTATTTATTTGTATTATTATTGTAGATTTGTAAATTACCATTAAATGTAAAAAAATATATATATATATAAATATATTTATGAATATGTATGAATTTAACCGTACTTTGAAATAGTCATTAGAATTCAATAGCTCTTTTTGTTTTCATCGGCTTTTAAAAGTCACCCTATTTATTCATCCGTGTGGGATAAGAGTATTTTATATGTTTTAATTAATACCACACAATTATGGCTTGATGCTGTAGTTGAAAAATAATTTTTACTACTTGAATTAATGTATTTAAATTAAAAGTAGAGCATATCGATTATGCATGCTATGTTCTAAAATATGGTTTAAATTATTTTTACAGAGATTAATGGCTGCGATATGACTTTTGTTTTTGAATAATTATTAACAGATTTTATCAAATATTGTCTTTGTTTTTTTAATGAATTTCAATAGCATTGAGTAACAATGTCTGATTTGGACTGTAGAATTGAATCTTACATAAATGTTCTTATTATTATATTGAACTGAACTTCATTAGTCACAATCAAAATTATATTTAACCGTACTTGTTTTGTTTTTTCTGTAATTAAAAAAAAAAGAAAAAAGATAGCAATGTGTGAATTATATGAAGATAGATATAATGCTCAATGTGTAAGCCAGTGTTCAAACAAGTCACAGGGTTAATGTTAGCTTAAATTAATGCTCCTTTCAAAGCCGACAGCTATTTCACCCTTTTTCGCTTGAGGAGTAAGAGTATTTTATTTAAAATGTCAATTAATCAACGGAATCGTTGTTAGTTGTTATTGACTGAAAATGTGAGAGTGATGACTTGGTCATCTTTCATTTTTTTCGAAAGCCTTTGGCGGTATTTTTGGTGTACTTAAAAAAAAAAAAAATTAAATTTCAGCAGCCGTATTATGTAGTCAGTATTGGCAGCTATAAGCTTAGCTGTTTAAAAAAAAATAAATAAAAAGTGATATGTATAAAAAATAACTTTAAATTTCATAAAACTATTTAAAGACTGTTTTTCAACTAACCGTAAAAGATTTTATCATTTATATGTATATTTAGTTAATGTTGTTATTATTTTATATGTATGTATATGTACAAATGTTTAAAAAATTAAAATATTCTTTAGTTTAATTTCTTTTCATTTTTTTTTTTTTTTTTGTGCTGGAGGACACCATTTTTTTCCTTTTCTTTTTTTTGGTATATCCTTTATGCACAATTTGTATAAACTTATTAACAGATTAATGTTTATAAATTGTTATTTATTTCATCTTGTTATGTTTTATGTTTGTTAAATTGTTTAGTTACCCAAGTGATTTACATATTAGTGTATACCGTTTTTTAAATTTTTTTAAAGATTCTTATGAATTTGTATATATTTGAATGTGTCTACTCAGTGTTGGGTACTCATTAAAATAAATATATTTATTCTAGATAAAAGTAATTATTCTAATAATAAAAAGTTATTTGTTATTCCATGAATTATTTGTGTCTATATTTTCTGAATAAATTAGATATTCACTATATTTTAGAGTTTGCTAAGAACTCTTCCCTCACAAACTGAACTATTTTTTCTTTGGATTTTCTGCCAAAATAATCAATAGAAAGAGATTGTACTTCTGTCAATCAGGATTCAGTTTTAAAAATAAAATTATTTATTCTGATAATTAATTATGTTTCTTCTAAAGAAAATAAATATGTTTCAGTTATAGAAAATTCACAACAATTAAATTATTCTTAAATTAATTTGGTATCATTATTCATTATTTATTTTAAGTTGCTCAACACTGCTATGCATACATGTTTTCGTTGATTAAATTTAAGAAATTAGAATAATTAGTATCAAATGGACATGGTTTTGAAAAGAAAAAAAAAATAGATTGCACTCTATTGAATTTTAGCTGCAAAATTTATGTGCTAGTAGTACGAATATATGTAAATATTGGTATAAATATATATATATTGTTCAGTTTGATGTTTATAAATATTATATAATGTTATACATACTGTACACAAATGTACAAGTGGTAAATATGTCAAAGAAAATGTAACTAATTTTGTTTTAAAAAACAATCCTGTAGGATTTTCATTATTTTCTAACAACAGAATGGTATCAATAGTAACTGTATTATATTTTGAGATTGTAGTATTATAATTATAATAATTATTGAGGCATTTAATCAATTCTCGAGCAGCTCATGTGCCAATAGTGCTTCGCATTACCCGGTTTATGTCTGTCTTTAATTTGTATTAGCCAAAGATGTAAATAAGTCATATTTATATTAAATGTCAGATTGCAGCCTCAAAATGAATTGGTATTATACTGTTTACTTACGCTAATCAACCTACCCATGGACAAAATTACCCGATTATTTAACTGTATCACAATTGTGCTCGATAAAATAAAAAACATATGTGCAACTTGTTTCCTGTGTTTATTTTTTAACTACACCATATTATTATTGTCTCCTATGAAAAATATATCAATCTGAACTGTGTTGATACTTTTTTCATTATAAACAAACATTCTGCCTATTTTTTTAAAAATACTTGTCGTCCGTGTCATATGAAATGCCAGTTTGTGAAGTAAGATATAATTACTTAAAACCTATTTATTATATTTCCCATTTATAGATCTCTCCCACTATTCAGCTACCAATTTTATTGAAATTGTTTTTTAAAACTAAAACATGTGAAGTAATGTAATCTATTTTGTTTTATTGTCGACTTGTTTCTTCTGCTTCATTGCCTTTCTTATATCACAATGGCCGCATTTGCGTGACGTCAAATATTTTGTCATTTTGGTGATATTTTTAACAGTAACACATAGCTCCAAAAACAATTCAGCATCAACAGTTGGAAACACTTTTAGCTTCCTTTTACTGGTATGATTAAAAAAAAATTAATTTAATTTTAAAAGGAAGAATTAGCTTGAAAAATTGACTCATAAATGATAATTTGAAACTCAAGGGAGAAGTTCAAAGTAATCAAGAAGAAACATACAAATATACAATATTTTTATTAAAAGTATGCTAGATCTATATTTTAAAATATAGGATTTAATAAATAGATATTTTACATGTATAAAAGAAGAAATTGCTGTTGATTGTTCATTTTGGAAGAATTAATTAATTTTCTTTTGAGTGAGGTATTTCAACCAGCTATTTTTTGTGAATTATCGATGGCGAAGAGTGTTAAGAAGAATTAATGACTTGGTTTTTTGTTCTGAGGACATAGAAAGATTATTTTCCTTTGATCCGTGTGACTGAACTTACACTGATTAAAAAAAATATGGTTTGAGTTAAACATAGTATTCAAACAAATATGATCTTCTCATTCATGGAAGCTCTGATTTCAAATTATGAAGTTTTGATAAACAAGATACTGTTCATACAACTTCAGTTTACCAAGTGAACCAAAAAACATTGATTTTATTCAATTTGTCAAGTGTATTTTAAGTTTAGGAATAAAGTTCAGAAATTAGAAATAACTGAACAGAAAAACCTTCAAATTTTCAGGAGTTGACTGAAGTTATTTAAATAATAAATAGTCATTTAATCTCAGACAGTAGAGTTACATTTGTATGAATTTTATATTTTTAATAAAGAGGAAGAAAAATAATAAAAAAAGGTGAAAAGAGAAAAGTTTTAAATAGTTTAGTTCAAACTTTATTGAAAAATGCAATATTCATAAAAAAAGAAACTAACCTTTGAAAAAAAAGATATTTTTCATAAAACTTTTTCATCATTTAACTTCCTTAAATAAAAAAATTTAGAATAGACATACATTTTCCACAGCATTATTATCAAATAATTCAAAATTTCTTAATATTTCAATTTTTCGAATTGTATTTCACACTAATTTTCACTTTACACCTTAAGATTTTCTTAAGTTATTCATTTATATATTTAATTTACTATTTCCGTAACAAATTTCACAATATTATTCCATAAAACTTCATTTGCACAAAACCGGGCACTAAAATAGAAAAAATTTGATCAAATCACTCCATATCAGAATAAAACGTGATGAATATTATGTGTTCTAAAGTTTCCGTGAAAATATTTCCTTATATTTCTCATTAAAAGACAAGAAAATCCTTTCTTAAGTGAGGCACTTCATCTATTATTATTTTCATTAATTACTGCAAGTATATTGAGTAAATAAGCACATTGACAAAAGTAAATGAACACATACTGGTTAATATTACGGATAATATGGGTTAAATCAACTTAAATTAATAATAAAAAAGCAAAAAACTGTTCTTTTGATTTAATCTATAGTTTATTATTACTTAAATTCATTTATATAACCCTAGAACCGAATAAAACAGAGCAAAGGGTGTTTTGTTCAATAGTTCGATTAAATTCCGCAAGATAGCAGCACTTCCCGGGGACCTAGGAAGCCTGGAACGCAAGTTTAAAATCTTGAATTTGTATCAGGATAGTGGGACGTCACAGGAGCTCACTAGGAGGTGAGCTGTAAGTGCACGTGTACTTGTAGTTCTAGTAACGGCCGTATGGTAGCAGCACCGTCGCTCCTAGCGACCAGGAGAGTGAGCTCCTGTGGCCTCCCACTTTCCTAATACAAATTCAAAATTTTCAACTCGCTCTCTATACAGACAGGGCCGCCCGGGAAGTGCTGCTACCTCGCGGCAGTTTTGAAAACTATATCGAATGAATTTTCTGATGTCTGGATAGTGCTGGCACCTAGCGGCTACTATTGAAACTATTTTCTCTCTGTATATAAGAAATACAATTAAATCGTTTAAAATGTCTTTTTAAAGGTATATACACCTAAAAATCGATAGATTTCTTTAAAAAAACAACAGATAGGTGTGTGTTTGCCCTATTTTTAATATATTAAAGACATAAAACAGAGAAAAATCGAAATACAAGTTAATATTAAAGTTGTGATAATTGTTTTTGTTTTATTTTCTTTAAACAATTTGAATTTTATTTTTGTTCTAATGAAACAGTTTAAATGTGATTTAATGAGAGATACACTGCATGTTTAAATAAAAATTAAACAAATTATGTCAGTTTCTGTAATTTCTGCATCTTTTGTGTTTTTTGAGTTATTTGACTTAGGATTTTTTCAAATAGTCACTTTTAACTTATATTATTGATTAAATAGATGTAACAAGTTAATCAATGAAATCTTATGCTTTTTTAATTTGGAATACGAAAAAAATTGAAGTATTCTTAAAATTTCATAATGAATAATGTATTCAATGTGTATATCATCGTTTTATTGCAAAAAAAATCATTAAGTGACTGTTCATAATCTTATATCACTAAGAACTTGAAAGCTTCGTGAACGCTGAAAATTGTGTGGTTGTAACAATATTTGATTTGGGAAAGGATTGTGTAATTTTAGAGTGTTTATTGTGTTTTTTATCGATAAATAAGGTTGAAATTTACAAAATTGGTTTTAAAAGTTTAGTTTCATCAAAAGTATACTTGGAAATTTCTTGTAATGAACTGGTGATATGAAAACAGCAGATTATAAAGCCCAGATATTGCATATAAGGCATATTTATTCTACTAGGGGTTCCCAAATGTTATATAACTGCTTGTTACTTCCACTTTTTAGATATATGAGTGTTGTGTGAGTCATTTAGATGAATTTAATGTTAATAAAAAATAAATAAAATAAAAAGTGAAGTTGAGTACAATGCTTAGGAATTTCATAATATACTAGTGGTTCATCTGTCAAAGTAAAAAATAAATGTCATTTGAATATATAATTGTGTGTAATATGAAGATAGGTTTGAATAATATCTTTTTTTAATTAATGAATAAAAATTCATTTATTTTGTGACATAAGAAATCATAATGTTATTTTTAATACTTACATACTTGAATTGTTCATATTAAGGGGAACAAAATGGAAAACAAAAGGAAAATCTCAGGTTGATAAATGATTTCAAACTCGTAATATTATACAAAGTAGTTTATTATTATTACAATTTATAAATATTTTTATATGAAATACAATATATAAATATTTTTATATGAAATACAATATATACATAGAACAACAATTTTTAAAAATTAATTTTCTCAATCAACATTTTGCATTATATTATGATTTTTTTTTCTTTCGAATTGTTTAAGGATGAGGGTCATTGCCTCCCTGCGTACGCCCATGCTTATCTGTAACATACAAAAACATAAAACATTAATTTTTTTTGCTGCGGCACCTGTGTTGGGCAAAAAACTTTCCAGAAGTCTTGACTAAACAATAGTCAAAGCACTGTTATCCTTAAAACTGTAATGTAATAGTCTTTTTACCCATTATTGTTGCAATTTATATAAACTGAATAAATATTTTCTCAGATATAATCTCAAATTTGATTGATTTTGATCTTAATTGTTATTTTTCTCCTAGCCCATTATTACAAGTCTTTTACAACCTGTATGCCTCCCCTAATTAAGAGAGAAATGGTCTAACTTCCTGTGGGGACCAGCAGTATTGGGAAGTAGAGGCGGGATTCGATCTTATGATCTTTACTATACTAGTATAGCATGCTAACCACTCTGTTATACCGCTCACTTAATTTTTATTGATAGATATAAATTTATGTATTTATAGAATAACTATTCAACAATTTGCAACATAAATATTGAAATTCAATGTTATTGTCACACACCCAATTTGAGAATCACTGCTCTAAAAACATATGAACGTCAACGAATCCACAATCCAATTTTATTTAGTAAATAACAATTCAAATTAAAATATTAAGTACTTACTAAGTACAGTACTTTACAGGGATGCGTTTCCTTAAAGAAGTTACCATAGATAGTGCAATCAGCATATTTAACCAACAGTTTTTTCTACAACTTATTTAGGTATAAGACTACCATTTTTTAAAGGCAGATCAGTCAAAAGCAAATAGAACATGAACTAAATAATTATAAACAAAGACTGCTGAACTTGTAACTGTGCCTGGGAGTTGTAATTAAAATAACAAACAAATAAATTCATTCAATAATCTGCTTTTCTGCCCACATAACGTGAAGATATTTTTTTGGTCAAATGAATTAAAATGATAGATGTTTCTTTATTTAGGTTGTGTTCAAATTATTTTATTTGCTTATAGGAAATATTATAAGTTAAGGTTATTACTTGAAATTAGTTAAATTCTAATTTAATTAAGTACTCTTAGTGAACCACATCTCTACTGCAGATTATTGTATTTGATAAGGAACTTACTTTCCAACTAGTGCAAATAAATAGTAAAATATAACTTCATATACAACAGAAATAGTTATTGATATTTAATTAGTCAGTAAGAAATAAAACCAAATCATGTTTGTAGACAAAAGGCCAATGCACAAGTGACTTATATCTTAAAATAGCATGTGTTTAAATTTGCTTTACAAGTTAATTTTAACGAAAGCAAAATGGAGAAAATTAATTCACTATATTCGTTGAAATATATCTTTATTTGAGACACATGTTCTTCATAAAATGGTTGAGTGTCCTTCAAATCAAAATAAACATAATTTTTCAACAAGTTCTGAGGATAAAAAAATTAAAACATACATAATGTTCAAAAAGTATGTAATAGCAACAAATAAAAAAAAAAAATCAAACATTAATTTTGAGATATTATCGAAGTTAATACAGAACAATCTGTTAAAACATTATTTGTAGGTTTTAATTTACAGCTGAGAATATATATATATCTATTATGGAAAACAAGTATTACATGAAATGATATCTTAAGCTTTCAGCATAAATTTAACATTACGTTTTTCAAGTTCATCTTAAAAATCTAACTCTTGAGTATTATCAAAAAATAAATATGAAAAAACACTTTACCGATTGGTGTTTTAAATTTCTACAGTTACATGGATACTACATAAATATTTTAGTTTTGAATGACATATTTACAGAAAATTAAAATAATAAAATCAAATGCTAACAAGTCATGAACAGTTTTCCATATTGATTTTTTTTAAACTGCGGGTTATTTCATTAAATACAATATTTTGTAGGTTCTATCAAAACACATAGTACTACATAACAAAATGTATTTATTTATAAAAAAAAGTTAGAACTAAAATATAATTTCCATATTTAATAACAGGTATTTATGGATACAAAACTCTGTGAAAACATTAGTAAATTATAAATACAAGCGTTAATATAAGAAACATAAATTTTTCGTATGACAGCTCTCATCATTTCTCACGTTTTCGCTGTAGTATTTTGGACCGCTCTCTGTGTAGCTAATTGAGCCTGAATCTTCATCTCCATCACATCCATAATAGCTGAAAAAAAAATTTGAATTAATACAATTAAAATATAAGATATGAAATAAGAAGAATATTAACATACAGAATTTTGAAAAAAAAAGAAAAAAAATTTCAGTCTATTGTTCCTCTCGTTCTTCAGCAATATTGTCCAATTGTTGTGGCAAACAATAATTCTGAAGGAGAGAAAATTTGCTGAAACGCCCGATAATAATTAATGATCAAAAACTAATTTGATTATTGATTATATATTTAGAAATAGAAAGTAACTTTATTCTGGGACAAAGTCCCTTTAGAATAACAAAATAGAACATAATTAAAATACTACATCTGGCCAAAATAAAACAATAATAAAAAAGAGAAGGTAAAGAAAATATTAGTTAAACAAGCTATATACAAAAAAATACAAAAATCTATATACAAAACACTTAAAACTATAATAAAACACTTAAGACTATGTACAGTAGGAAAAACTGTAATTATACTCTTTTGAAAAATAAAATAATAAAAAATACATTGAGTTCTTCTTTAAAATGAGGTGTGTTTCTGCTAACAAAGAAAAGACAAGCTGACAATATAAAATATCAGTGTATTTAAATAATGATTAATATGTAGACTCATCATTGTCAAATGCTAGCTATAGGTACAGATTTAATTATATACCAATGAAAAATAATAAAAAAATAAAAAAAAGCAATAGATGCGGTCAGTGGCATTAAGAGCAGGAAGATATTGTAATATCCCTAGTGAGGTTCACAGTATAGAATAGTACTATCGTTTGATGATGACTAGAAATGTATAATATCGGAAGTTCAGCAAGTATCTGACTGTTTTTGGGATAGGAATTGGAATAGGAGGGATTTGAATGTGGATATGGAGGGGGAATGCCGAATTTTGATAGGTAGAGAATTCCAGAAATTGACAGCGCGAGCTATAAAGGAATTCTGAAATGAGGCAGATCTGTGAGAAGGAATGCAGAGGCCAGAAGGTCGAGATCTTGTTAAAAGGGAATGGACTGAGGACTTGAATTGGAGAAGGTTGTAGGCGTAAGAAGGACGATGGTTGTTGATGATTTGATAGAGGAACGTACCTAGGAAATATTGTCTTCTAAAGGAGGGGAAGAGCCACCTTAACTCAGTGTAGTGGTGAGAGACATGGGAGTACCTCGGGGCGCCAATAACAAATCTTACGCAGCTATTCATTAATCTTTTCAGTCTATCACGGAGCTCCACCGAGAGGCCATCATACACCACACAGCTGTAGTCAAAGTGGGGGAAGATGAGAGAGGAAATTAGGAGTCTACGGGTATGTTGAGGTAGGAGATGGGGAAGCGATGAAATAGTTTAAGGGTAGAAATTGTCCTATGGGAAATGTGAGAAATATGGTAGTTCCAGAAAAGGGTTTGATCTATGAAAAATCTTAAATTTTTAACAGAGGAGTAAGAGGAAATTGGCTGGTCATTAAGGTGTAATATGGGAAAGTCAGTATGGGATCTAATAAGGGGCTTGGAACCAATGACAATGGCCTGAGTTTTGGCAGCATTTAACTTTAATCCATATACATTTGCCCAGGCACTGATTCGATCAAGGTCTTCTTGAATCTTGGCAAATGCTACCAATAAATCAGATGGAGAAAAGGATAGGTAGATCTGGAAATGGTCTGCATAAAGATGGTGGGAACAATGGAGTATTGAATTATGAAGGTCGTTAATGTAGGAGCTGAAAAGGAGAGGAGATATGCTTGAACCCTGGGCAACTCCGGAGGATAAAGGCAGGTAGGCAGATAGTGGTTGATTGGGTATGGAGACTGCTTGGGTGCATTAGGAGAGGAAAGATTATTTACTAGGCGAGAATAAAATTCTGACATAAAAGTAAATTTACAACCCACAAATTGCTTTGCAATAAGCAAATTCAGTGGATTCAACTAATGTAAGTCAATCTTTAATGAAATTATGAATTTTTTTGACAGTGTCTAAAATTTTCGGGATATTTAAGTCACTGTATGTTATTTAAGTGACGAAATAAGATGGTGTATCCAACTATCCTCAAAATTACTTATTATTGTGATGAAATAAAAAAAGAAAAAAAAAAAGAAAAGAAATTACATATTTATATATACATAACTCCACAATTTATAGACAATAGGCTATCTAATAGAAAAATAAATTAATACAAAATGTAATAATATCTACAGTGATTTATATAATAATATACAAACACTAAGAGAAAATAAAATCTCAGGGTTACTTGTGGTGTAATGGAAAAAAAAGGAACTATGTATACGTACATGCACATATTGGTACACAGAGAGACAAAAAGTATAAAATATAAACATATATACCCGAAAGAAAAAGCACAACCTGAGGCGAAGAGAAAAACAAATAAATAGTAAAAATAATAGTCAAACTAGGTGACAAAGATCATTGCTGTTTTATGTTAAAACTTAAAAAGTAGGCACCACCATTTATTTCTCACAACTTCAGTTCATAAAATGAAATTTATAGTTGTGAATCGCCTGTTTGGGATGTTGAGGAGATATTGGAAAAGGAAGTATTTGAAAGTTGACAGGGAAGAGGTATGACGGATGTTATATGGTAAAGAATTCCAGTAGGCGACGGAGCGAGCTAAGATGGAACGTTCATAGGTTTTTGTCCTATGGAATGGAATATAGAAGTCAGAAACACAGGATCTCATTTTAATTAAGTGGACTAAAGGTTTAGGCTGGAGGAGACAGTAGATATAGGAAGGATACTGGGAGTTGATCGTTTGGTATAAGAAATTTCCAAGGAAGTATAGGCGGCGGGAAGAGGGGAAGAACCACTTTGACTTGGCATATAGGTGAGACACATGAGACCATCTCGAAGCGCCGAAGAGGAATCTTAAAAAACATTTCATGATTCTCTTCAGTCTGTCCTCGAGCTCCAACAAGAGGCCACCGTATACCACATAGCCATAGTCAAAGTAGGGGAAAATCAATGAGGAAACGAGGAGTTTGCAGATAGGTTGTGGGAGATGCTGATGAGAACGATGAAATAGTTTAAGTGTACCAATTGACCTTCTGGAGATATGAGCAATATGGGGTTTTCATTATAGGTTTTGATCAATGGTAATTCCGAAGTTTTTTACAGGGGAGGTGAAGGAGATCGGTTGGTCATTAATAATCAAGGAAGGAAGGGTGGAAATGGATCTAAGGAGGGAGTTGGAACCTATAAGAATGGCCTGAGTTTTCGTTGCGTTTAACTTTAATTTATTCAAGCTTGCCCAGGCACTGATCCTATCTAGGTCTTTCTGAATATTCGTAAACGCTTCTAATAACTCAGTGGGCGGAAAGGGAAGATAAATTTGGGAGTCATCAGCATATAGATGGTATGAACAATGGTGGATTGAACTAGGAAGGTCATTGATGTACGAATTAAAAAGGATAGGAGAAATGCCTGAACCCTGGGCTACTCCATGAGACAAAGTGAGGAAAGAAGATAAGGGTTGTTTTCGAATACTAACAGCTTGAGTCCTGTTAGGAAGGAAGGATTGGAACCATAGGATAGAACTATTGGAGAAGGATAGAGATTTTAATTAAGTGAAGAGAATAGAATGGTCTAAGGAATCCAATGCTTTGGAGAAGTCCAGGAGTACTAATACAGTCAGTTTTCTTTCGTCAATTACAGTATGCATTTGTGATTTTAACTAAAGCTGATTGAGTGGAGAAGCCCGGGCAAAAGCTAGATTGGAGAGGATCTAAAAGTTTGAACTCTTCGAGAAAATTGGAAATTTGGGATTGGACTATTCCCTCAAAGGGTTTTGACAGATTTGAGAGGATGGAAATTGGACGATAGTCTTTAGAAGTGGGGTTAGGGATTTTGTTAATAGGACGGACTAAGGTTTTTTTCCAAGATGTAGGAAAAACAGAATTTTGAAGGGAAAAGTTATAAATGAATAGAAGAAGTGAAAGGATTTAAGGGAGGCATAATTTTAACAGTTTGACGGGTATTCCGTCAATTCCTATAGAGTTGGATTGGGATTTCATTATGGAGGAAATAAGGTTCGTAGGAATGATGTAGGAAAAATAAAAATTGTCACAATTAAATGTAGATGATACAGGAATATAGGAAGAGGTGGGAGAAATATTACTAGAGGAGGAGGATAAAAAGTAGGAATTAACAGCATCAGAGAGACTGAAACAGCTGTGGAGGAAGATGATTTGCAAAGACAGCTTTTGGAGTAAATGCCATTTGGATTTAGAATCAATAACCATCAATTAGATAACCATAAATTGACCAAAAGACAACGAGGTCTGAAAAGATATTTAGAATAAAGATCAAAATTTAAAAATGAAAAACATTAATAATAACGCAAAAGTGTTAGCTGAAACATTTTTATGGATTTCCACGACTTTTCCAGGCTGTTAGGAAAAATTTCAGGTAATTAAAATAAAACATTTTTAATGATCGATTGTTATTAATAATAATTTTAAATACTCCAATCCACAATACTGTAGGCCTAAGAAAATTGTAAATTTGTGTGATGTTGGTTACATTTTTACAATTTTCTCGGAAATGGCTCTAACGATTTTGATTAAATTCATTATATCAGTGTAAAATTAAGCAGTTTTAAATAAAATGTAGTTTTTATTCTGATTGATGTTCTCTAACAGGGCTTAAATGACTAATTTTCAATATTATCTTCCTCTAAAGTACCTTTAATTTTTTTTATTTGAAATAATTGACTATTTCACATTAATCTCTAATACAAAAGATAGTTACGTATGAAACATGAAAGAATTTGATAATTAATTAAGGAAAAATAAAAAATCGTAACGGAGAATAGTTGTAATTGATCGCACACGAACTCGCTGAAAGATTATAACAGGCTTCCATCTGTAACATGAGCTTAACATAATCTTCTGACAATATTATATAAATATACATATGTGGTTTTCATAAATGTTATTGTTGGTATTATTTAATATTTAATTGTATAGATTACACTGATATAAATATTAAAATTTGTATGTATAAGGGATACAAATAAAAATAATTATAGGTTCTATAATTTTTACTTTCACTTATCCTTTGTCTGAAAAGACTTATTTCTGCTATGAGGGTGGTAAGTGAAAGTTTTGTGATAAGGGCACCACACCAGATTTTTCAACATAGTTCTGTAGCTACAAAATTCGAGTGTATATTTCGATATGCAGTATAACAGCGGATAGGCAAATAATTCTATAGTTTCCACAGATGGTCTGACTTCCTTTCTTATGTATATTTATATTTATAAATATATGCAATATTTCCTAGGACATTCCTTTACCAAATAATCAATAATCATCATCCGTCCTACGCATACAATCTCCTACAATTCAATCATCAGATCCACAAGAAGGTAGATCTGACCTTTACACAGATCTACCTCATTTAAGCATTCCTTTGCTATCCGTTCCACTGTATTCTGGAATTCCATACCACTAAAAAAATGCCATGCACCATCCTTATCCACATTTAAAACCCTCTTATTCCAATTTCTCTTCACAATTCAATCAGACGCTGGCTAAGTATATATTATGTAACAAAGTTTTAATTTTCTTTATACATTTTTTTTTTCCTTCTGTTTTGAGTATGAAACAGAATTTCGACCACCTTTCATAAAGCATTGTGAGTAGGTATAATTTGCTGTTTTTCTTACCTTCTACCTTTTCTATTCATAATATTGTATTTTTTTTAAGTGTATTGTATTTTATTTTTTATCTATCTTCTGCACACTCCTTTCTATGTATATATATATATATATATATATATATATATATATATATATATATATATATATATATATATATATATATACTTTTTTTTCTTTTTCTGCTCATAATCTATTGCATCATAGGTAGATCATAATACATCTCTAGTTTTTCACAAAATTTTCATGTGTTTTCACTTAAACGTCTTAAGGAACATATATAAATCATTTATTTAATTATTTCTATTTTATCACAAAAATTGGTTGCCTATAAAACTTATTTAGAGTTTCTTTCCAATTTTATTAAGTTATTAGTATGTTTTTGTTTGTTGTACCAATATTATAATATTGTAACCCTAGTACTCATCTGCTTTCCTTAATATACCCTCCAAAACTATGTATATACTCATTTTATTACTTAGACTTTAGTTACTCTTTATTATAATAGGTCATCTGACCAGATTTATTGACAATTGGTTTGAACAATATTGTTATTCTTAAGGTACTTAGTTCCAGAATAAAGACAATTTTCTATTTTCTCCTATACTATGTATAGGTATAATAATATTTTGCTCCCAGTCCTTCAGCATTTTCTTTTAGTTCCAAATTTCCTGAAATAGAGTCTGGAGTATCTTTTTCAATTCCTTTTCGCCAAATTAAATAAGTTTATTTCATAATTTATTTTGAGACCTTGCACAACAGTAAAAACCAACAATCACAAAATAATAAATTAAACATTCTGGCTTAATATTAGTCTCTCTTCTAATATGTTAGTTTTATTATTCATTTCTATTTATCAAATGATTTAAGTATGTTATGCATGATAAACATTAAAAATGAGGTCAAATTACCAGTAGTAAGCAGTTCAACTCATTTACTGATATTAAGCTTTATAAACCACCAATAGTCTATTGGTAGTTGATTTTTAAATAAAACACGGCTTGGATTTGTTTGAAGGAGGCTCCTATAATACTTTTGTTTAGGAGATAAGTTCAAAATTTTGGTTCATTTATCCTGTGATTAGCTATTTCTTAGTTTAAAACTGTGGATAATTTTTTTTTTTTTTTAAATTTTATAAAAAATCTATTTATCCCAAAAATCTGAGTGTCTATTACAGGTCAAAAGCCCACCTTACACCGTCAATATTATTGAATCAATAGTCTTGAATGTTGCATACATAAAACAAATGGCAATATAATTGTTACAATATATCCATCAGACAGTCAATCAATATATTCGATTTTGACCATATAAGGTAGGCTTTAAATACGTCAGAATTTTTTAGATTTTTCATGAATAATTAACTAATTTGCTGTATACAAACAATAAATGTGATGAAAGACTAAATTTGCTTTCAATTAAATCCATTTGCTGAAGTGTATTGTCAGAACTAAAGCTGTGGTTCATATGAATGTTAAAACTACTCCTTGAGTATCTATTACCAGTACATTTCCCTTAGATATTGGAAAGAAAAAAATAATACATACCTTCTCTTATTTTACTCTTTTCTAGCCCAATATTCTGAATCTTTTCCATTTGTTCGGTGACAAAAGTTACCTTCCTTTTGAAATAGTCTCTGGCACTTTCAATATTCTGAGGAAAAGAAAACAACTATAATTTATAAAAACTATTTCTTCAAAAGCTAGAAATTTTAAAAATGAATACAAACCATATTCAAATAATAGCCAGTTCCAACATCAACCAAGACTTTTTCGGAATCAGCAATGGTACCAGGTACGAACATCTACAGAACGGCTAAGGAATTCAAATAGTTGCAGGTGTTAAAATCAATTACAGAGAATTAACATTTACGCATACCAATTATGGTCAATTTAACATTTATGGAAAGCAGAACTCATATAAAAAGCAGATATTGAAAACAACATAACAAAAAGGATACAGAACCAGTCAATGGGACCATAATGCTGGAACCACAAGTATCAGATTTTATTTTCTCTAAGCTTTCTCGTGAATCACTGTATTTTGACTGAGCCATTTTTAATGTTTGCAAAGAATCTTGATATACGCTCAGTTCCTAAAGCAGAAATATAAATTTCACTTAAAATGTATAAAATAAATGAAGAAGGTAATTAGATAAGTCTTCTTTATTCTGCGTACCTGGTCTAATTGTTTCTTAAGTTGAGTTAATTGTTGTAAACTTAGTTTGTTTAGCTCTATTTGTTGCATTTCTGGTTTATCTTTAGAGGACATGGCTGAAATTTAAAAGACCTGTGTAATTTAACACTACCTGCTATAACCTTTCCAACCCACCACTTGACCGAAATCAATGGTAATACTAAATCTTCGAAAATGTACCGGGAGTTAAGGAAATTTTCTATTTTTCGGAAAATAGCAACATTGATTTTATTCAAGTTAAATATATTTCGTTCATTGATAAAAGATAGAAAACAATTTTCTATAAGTTATTCTTAAAATTAAGGTTATATAATTCAGATAAATAACGTTATTTAAAATTCTATTAAAGCTCTATCGAGAAGTACAATTGTCACATATGTAATTTAGGAATTTTTTAGACACTAAAAAAATGTTTAACTTTGTGGAAACATAACGATGCCATCGGTGGACTCAGCGCTCAGTTTATGAACTTGGTATTGCACCAAACAGGAATGGCCGAGTCACTTATATTATGATATCAAAACATGTTACTTAACAGGATTTATTATTCTTTTAAGAAATTGTGACATCATAGATTGATCAGTGATATGAACAAAGATTAATAAATACTAATAATATTAACAAAGATGAAACTATCTATAAAAGGTGTTTTTTATTTTATTACATTGTCATCAACTATTTAATTTTTTAATTATATTTGATAAAATAATTTTAGAGCTATGTTTATGAGGGAAACAAAAATATTCACTCGTATAGCAGGGGCATCCCATTCGTCGTAGAGTCGATCCTATTTTGTAATGCTCTTTACTTCTCTCGCTGAAAGGCACCTACAGCCAAATGTGTTGTTTAAATAGTCTATGCTAAATGACCTTCCAAAGCTTTACGATTTGTCCCATATCATTCCAATATCGTCGGTAGAAGTAAAACAGCCAATAAGCAGAATCTTGTACTTATCATGTCATGAAAGTATCTTGTACTGAATATATTTATAAGAATGTATTTAAAAGGTATATTTGTCAATAATGAAAATAGTTTCTTCAGTTAATTATATCTATTGCTTTAGGAATTAAAAAATGCTGCGAATTATTTCACAGTGGTTTATTATTTTCAAACAATTATACACCTAAAGTGACATTACCTTCCTAGTTACAAAGAAAAATAAATAAAAGGTGATTCCAATTATTGGGCTAAACTTTTTTTTTAATCATTAGTAATAAGCTAAAAAAAAAATAGCATTATATCAGTAACACATTCAAAATTCAAAAACCAAAACAAAGGATATTACCTTTTCAGCAGAACATGTAAAAAAAAAAAAAACAGACCATATATTTGCTCCTAATTGTCCGAGTTTTTCAGGAAATTTTATAAAATTTTAAATAACTGTACAATATCAACAAAAAAGTATATACTTTTTGAGTTATTCGGAATTTAATTTTACCATCCCTCGTAACTTTTTTTCCAGCTTCTTTTCGCTGAAGTATGTTATATAGATAAATTTAAAGGGCGTCGAGAAAATGACTTAAGCGAACCTATGGCAACACAGGTTTTTCGGCCGGCATATTGAAAGTAAAAGGCGGATAGTAATGCCGATGAAGGAGGATCATTCTCGGGTGACCTCAGATTTTATATCCAAATTTGAAAAAAAATCAGTCCCGCAGTTTCGGAAAAATGCGCGGACGGCGGACGGACAAAATATTTTATATCCGTTTTTTGAATTCTACGTATCTTGAAACGTAAAACCTTAAATTTTGAGAAGGGGTTCAGTTTTTGAATTTTTTGGTCGATTACAATGGTTCATTATTGAAAATGATAAACCAAAAAATTGAAGCAATAACTCGATTTTTAAAAACATGGTAAGTAAAATATCGATTTTACCGATAAGTTATTAAAGCCAATGCTTCGTACATATTATAATTAATAGTCCGTGGTAAAGACCCCTTTTTATCGAATTATTACCATCCGCCTGAAACTTCGTAAATAGCTTCATCTCATCGTAACCAACAAATATTTTATTTATGAAAACTCTTGGAATTAACCCATTTGCTTGGATCTTAATATAATTCCATCACAAAATTTAATGCATTATTATAAATATATTCAGCCCCAATATATATCATATAGCTACCAATATCAATATAGCCCCAATTACAAGAGTTTTCATAAATAAAATATTTGTTGGTCACGATGAGATGAACCTATTCAGGAAGTTTCAGGCAGATATTAATAATTTGAAAAAAAGGGGGTCTGTACCACGGACTATGAGGATGTACTATAACCATTAAAAATTGGAACAGGTTTAAATTTAACAGTTTAAATTCCAACAGATCCGGTTCATTCATTGGAATAGTTTCCCATAATGGTTACAGAACCAAACTAGTTCGTTGGACCTTCTTCAACACATATTTGTAGAAATAAAATTTGAAACTAAATAAATAAAAGTTGGTTGGTGAAACTGAATTTCTGATTTTGAATAAAAAAATACATAAATTTTCTTAAACAGCGGCTTATTTAAATTTACAAAGTACTTCAAAAAAGATTTTACTAATAGAGGAACAGTTCCTAACGGTTCCACATTCAGTTTCGGCTCCATTAACAGTTACACAAGATTCATGCCAGCTCTAATTGTAATCCATGAAAGAAATAATTTAACTATAATTATAAAATAAATTAACCATAATTATCTCAATAAAATTGTAAAACTCACGTTACAAACTCAATTCCAACAAAAACCCACAAGTTTCTATCTTAACTTTCCATTCCTATAATCTTCTAACAAGTCTGAAAAGAAGATGGTAACTAGAGATTTTAATTTGTATTTGCCATTGACCTAAAAACGTCAATTTTATTCACTGATTACTGTTCATTTAAACATTTTTTTTTTAATATTTAACTTATGTATTGAAAAATATTACAATCTGTCTCAAAGGACATTTATAATAGTGTCCAGAGATCACATTCACACACTATGTACAATAAATAAAATAAATTATACAGAAAAATAATATATATATAATAAATAAGAATAAAATAACCTAAAAATAAATAAGTAAAAAGAACAGATACATACCTATATACACTATTTAAAAATTAATTCGTATAAAAGAGAAAAAATAATAATGCAGATATGTTACATATTAAACGTTTTTATTAAGAAAAACTTTCCCAACCTTTAGTATTGAGGAAGTAAAAACATGTTATATTTTTACTAAACATTTTATGATCGCTAAAGAATATTTATGAAGGATTCATTTACGTTTTAAAAACTAAGAAAAAAAGACAAGTCTTAGCTACATATATTAACTAAAATTGTCAAGTATTAATACAAATTTTGCCTTAATTTTTATTCAAAAAACTGATTTTTTTTTACCAGCCTCAGTCTTGGTCATGCAACAGTTCGGCAGTCATGGTCTTGGTCTTGCAAAATGCAAGACTAGTGAGAGTGTAAAGGCGTCAGACTTTTACTTGTTTTCTGATACGATTTATTTTTATAATTTTAGTGATTTTAATTTTAAATTTATAAATACTTCGAAATTCCTACTAAATCTTCCAAAGTAGATCTTCAATGTAAAAGTGACATTTTATTGGGCTAAACATATTTGAAGCATTAATAGAACAACATACGATTTAAGATGCATAATGAAATATTATTCCCCAACAAAAAAAAAACCTTCATTGTTCTGAAATAAATTGTCATTTATGACCGTTTTTTTTTCTTATAAACAATAATAAATACTTTCTCAGGAAATTAAGTTTTACAAAACTCGGACTTCATCCGTCTACTGTTGAGTAAGTTCATAACCTGTTTACAAAGACTGCATAGCCTACTTTCTGACATCTCATGATAAGGGAGTTTGGGAAAGTTGGAAAAAGCTCCCAACTTCGCGAAGTGAGCAGCTACTTTTCTTCTAGAAAGAACACGTTTCACTTCTAGTGAATTCTTTCTTGTATTTAAGCTGCCGAATAGATCGTTAAACAAATATTTATTATATGATATTTTTAAATAATTATATTAATACCAGTTGGCCCGTGTGAAAAATTCGCAGAAAATTTGGTTTAGTGAAGAAATAGCAAAACAATATAAAAATAAGTAGATCTTATGTATTATGTAACGAAGGAATCAATATTTTTCCTAGGTCGATTACAATATTCCATTTAACATAATAGATCAAAATACATATATATATTGCTTTGCTAGGACAAATTTTTAAACGCTGACCGTAAAGATAATAAGAGTCATAAAGACAAAATAATGCCCTGATCATGAGATTTTCTAAATTATTAAAAAAATTAAAACGTAAGAACAAACAAATGTCTTTAAGAAATAATAAAGTTAATATATCAGCCAGGAAAAAAAGTATAGTAGACTATTATGCTCCTAAATGCAATATCTATATGCAAACAGGAAGACATTATTAAGTATACCAAAACTAATGGACTATATCTTTGTTAATAATTGTCCGCTTTTTACGATTTTTTTTTTGGTTTTGTAGGTAATTTATTAATCTTTCTAATTATCATGGGCACAATTCAGAAAAAAGAAGAAATTTCGGGGGGATGGGACTATTTTTCGAATGTGAAGGAGAAGAATATCTTCAAAATGAGTGGTCAATCATTGGATTTGATGAAGAATTGACGAAGTTATGGCGTACTGACAAAAAATCACCTTTTAGAAATAATATATAGGATTAAAAGGTACGTTCGTTACTAAATGAACTTCCGTTTTATTGTAAGGGTTCTTCTAACTATTTTTGGAGAAAAAGTATTGTGATGAAGTTTTTTATTCATACATTTTTGAAAATTAATTATTTGAAAAGTTTTTAAGATATCGAAATAAAGTTTTGCAGGATTCGTACGAAGGGTAAGAGAAACAAAAAAAAAATCCAGCAACCTGTAAAATTCTGAGCTTTTCTGGTAATAAAATAATAAATAATAAGATAATGATAATGATAATAAGAATTAGGTTAATATATTTTTAAATCTTCCCATCTCCAACGATCCCTCTATTGCTAATCGTAAATATAATTCATTATTAATTTATTGATGCAGTTATGGTTAATAAAGTCTCATAATGTTTTTAGTTGTTGAATGCTCATTTAAGTCTGAAGAATATAATAATAACTGAACTGCTTTCAAGTTTTTATCAAATATACGCCT